TAAAACCAGAAACAAATGGCATGCTCAATTTGTACCAATTTCACTGTCGATTTTTCAAATTAGATTTCCTGAAACAGGTTGGACACGCGAAAAAGGGACACGCGACCAGAGACTGTGTCAACCTGCCCGGCCCTACCTACTTATAATTAAACACATTCACACCAGAAAGTATGCTACCTATCCTATTCAGGGACCCTATATTTAAAAGATGGCAAAAAAACAGGCACACCAACACACTCACTCCACGGTTCTCTCACATACCACTCGGGCGCAGAGACCTAAACTAGAGAGGACGTCCCGGGACGCCTCCGACACCCGAGCTTAACACACAACTTTCATACTCTAATTTACGTACCATTTTCCTGAAATCGACTGACAGTAGCTAGCGACCATTGCGTATAACGTGATTAAAACACCTTTATATATACAGCTAATATTAATAACTCATATATACATATATATATATATATATATAATTTCTATAGAATCTACACGTGCAAGTATATCAGTTGGTATACTATAATTGATCGTATAATTAATAACAAAATTATTGTGTATTTGATGAGTGTTATTATAAAATAAATTCATAATTCAAATCGGTGCACAAATGTTTTTACTATTTCAACTTATAATGAATGGAACAACGACGTGAAAACGACGCAATTCCACATCCTAACCACACATACATATGCGGAAAATACGTCGTGCACGATACGCTAACACACTGTCAGTCGCTGAGAAATTATTTATAAAATTACAAACTACAGTCATCGTGCCCAATGTCTTTCACCCACCCAAGTAGCACCTAGGCACGTGAGTGAGATCCTGACAATGAACACGGAAGGGGTTAAACCTGAAAATCCTGAACTAAAAGAATGGTTAATTTATATAATTTGTATCTAACGGACTATTGCATTATCTTACTTCAAGCTCTAATGACTCTACTCTTTCAGAAATTATTGAAATTGCAAGAAAACAAAGATAATGAACAAAACTTGAATTTGCTAAAAAAGATATTATGAATACTCTAACAATTGACTGAAACAATCAAAATCAAACAATTGACTGCAAATTAAATATTAACAGAAATAATCTCAGGCGACTTCTTCATCAAAGCACATTATCGAAAATTCGAAAGCAGTGTTCAAACTTGTTGCTTTGATTCAAAAATTTGCCTGTCGCGAAGTATCTTCTTGCACATAAGATCACATTTTCCTACGTAACGAATTCTATCTATTATAGTTCAAATTGTACTAAAGTTCATAATTATAAGACTCAGTTAAATCATTTTATACTATTATAAAAGGGAAGATAATGTTGAAATTTATTAATTATTATTAACAAAATATAATTATCAGTATATATCAATAAGTAATAACATCTTTCATAGCAACGAAGTCAGTGGGTATCCGTCTTCTCTACTATGAAATGCTCAAGCGAAACTGTTCTAATAATAATTATTCAGAAATATTTATAATTTATCTATTCATATAGATATTCACATGGATATTTTATTTTTGCAAACATTTATATTGAAGATGTTTTGATTTTATAAGTAATTACTATAACTGTATGTATTTAAACTAATTGTTAAAATCGCGATGTGCAAGAAGCCCTATCCTAATCTAATACATTAAAAACTTAAAAAAATGTTACTACTCACGGGTATAAAAAATACCCGCGGTCACTATGCTCATCAAAAATTCTACGTATACAACCAGTCACCCGGGCCGATTCGGACCTTTCGTCCTACGACATGATTGAGTGACCGGAGGAACATAAATGCATGCGACTCACACGATAGATGTGAAGAACGTTATCATCAATGCTGCACTGGGCCAGGAAAAGTTATCGTGAAGATCCTCATCAAGTAGATACCACTGAGAATCCCATGATAAACGCCGTGAAAAATTCTGTAAATCATCAAACATTTTGTTCCTAAAGACACAATGTATATTGTCAAAATTTAAATTTTAATAATGATAAAAATTGGGACTAACATGAAATATTTTTATTTTATAATTATAATTTTACATTCGACTTCAATAGAAACTACAGAGAATAGAATTCAGTTACAAGCTGAAGTACTTACATTTTTAGCTTTTGAAATATCATAAGATCCTTAGAAGATTAGGGGAAGTAGAGAGTGTAGAAGAACCTGTAAGAAAATATTAAACATTAAAATTTGTATTTAAAAACAAAGCAGAATCTTAAGTTGGAGATAATGAAAGATTCTTATATTCTTGGCTTTAGAGCTACCGTTGGATTTTCCCCCAAAAAGTTAATGCTGATGTGAAGCGTCTATAACAGAACGTTAAACATTATATGTACTCGTTAAATTTGAGAAATGAATAAATTAAAGTACAATATATAAGACTACTTACGATCTTGATTTCTTGGAGAGGCCTTGTCCTCTTGAGCACTGACTCTAATACCGAAAACGAGTATTGAACAAGAAAAAATATAAAAAAAGAAAAATAAAAGATTATTAACGCGCGCGCTTAAGTAACAATCGGCGAACTCACTGGCTCTAACTTCGCGAATTAAATTTAAATAAATTAATAAGAGCCATTTCGCTCAGACAAGAATTAAAATATTACGCAACAAACACTGGCTCTACCGACCGCATTGCACGCGGTCACACAAATTTTCTGAAAATAATCAATATGTATGAAAATAATGAAACTTGAATGTGTATTGTATGTTGGCATTCGGAAAAAGTAAATATATTGTAGCAAGGTATAATATAATGAAGTACGAAAACTTTGAATTTAATAATCTAATGTATTATATATCCATTTAAAAATATATATTGAAGTACTACGATGTCTATATTCGAAATAAAACATTGATTTAATCTTGTCTAGTTTCATCCTTGTATTCCGAATAATTACGAAATTACGTATTGTGAATTATATATCAAATACATATAAATTGTATCTCAAATGCTATCCAAAAGGAATAAAATGTTACCAATTTTCATGAAAATTCCTTAGATTGTCCATCGATGGTCATGGTGTCTATGCAATCTATGCTATCTTTGAAATCAAGACATAACCTGCACAAAATGAAATCAAAAGTCAAAACAAATACGTCAATTGAAGGTAAATGAGTAAAAATGATAATCAACTTCAAATTTCATTAAAGAGACATAAGCTACACAAGCAAACACAAGCTACCAGTAATTGTACGAGTGAAATCAACAACTGAAGCGAAAACCTGCACGTAAAGTTTCAAAGCATTATACAATTATGATATAATGCTCACCGAATCGTTAAATACACGCGTATTAATTAAATGATACTATTAATAATGTATAAATGAAAGTAAAAGAACGTAGAAGAAGCGACGCTACCGAAGGGACGACACTAATAGGTTAGAAAAAGTTACGTACTAATGCAACGTAATGCGTGTTGTTGTTATTCGATAGCAGAATGACTCTCCGCGACACGTCTGGTCAACCAATTGTGAAAATAGTAGGGGATGGGGTGATCTTGTCCGAACAGGCACGGTAGTACGAACATAAACATTGTGTTCTTGTTGTTGTTTTGAATTTCGAGCTTCAAGGCCTTCTACGCCTTATTCTGTGAGAAATGAAAAATTTTATTATATTACGCAGTAATATAAAATTATTATTTTAATTGTTAAATACGTATATTCTTAATAAATTATTGTTGAATTGTTAAGAATTATGCAATATGAAGTTAAAGCATCAACAAATAAGTAGAAAACGTTACAATAAAAGTGTGTGTAAAAGCATATAATAAAATACGTGTATATATATAACAATGAGTTAGTCAATTACAAGGTTACAATATTTGCACTAATTACAATTAAAATTAAATTTTGATATAAAATTATGAATAATTTTAGTATGATATATTTTCTTTAAATGTTTATATGCTATTATTTCTTTAATTGTTGAAAATTATATGTAATAATTATTGGTTAAACCTTACCTTGAGTTGAACGTGAAAATGCAAAAATGCACATTTTATATTAAAAATTAATAACATAAATACAAATCTAACAAGTATTGGTTTAAATTTTTACCTAAGAACTTCTGGGTGACACTTTCAGGATGATTTTTCAGGACAATAGTTCCTTCTTGACAAGCGAGGTGTGCTACTCTCCGCCATTTTTAACCGCCAATTTCCAGTTGAAGATCGATCATGAGACATATCGATTATTTCGAGAATCGTAGGAAGTACATTGCATATTTCACCGTTGGGGCGTTGTAATCGTCGTTTCGCATAAAATGATAACTTGAAATAAAAAGTAAAAAAAACTCTGTGCTAAACCAAATACGTAAAATTCATAAGAAATTCTTTAAAAAGAACAAAAATATTCACACACTTCATAACAAATTTTCAATACTTTAAACTGAGACATGAGAAATTTTATTATATTACACAGTAGAACTATTATTTAGGTTATTAAATATGTACATCTTTATTAAATTATTGTTGAATTTAATATTGGAATTGTTAAGAATTATGCAATATGAGGTTAAAAAATCAAGAAATGAGTAGAAAATGTTCAATAGAAGTAAAGACATATTTTATATATATATATATATACATAATGAAAAATTAGTCATATTACGAGGTTACAATATTTGCACTAGTTAGAACTGAAATTAAATTATAAATAATTTTAATATGATATATTCTCTTTAAACGTTTATATGCTATTATTTCTTTAACTGTTGAAAATTATATGTAATAATTATTGGTTAAACCTTACCTTGAATTGAACGTGAAAATGCAAACATGCACATTTTATATTAAAAATTAATAACATAAATACAAATGTAACAAGTACTGATTTAAATTTTTACCTAAGAACTTCTGGTGACACTTTCAGGATGATTTTTCAGGACAATAGTTCCTTCTTGACAAGCGAGGTGTGCTACTCTCCGCCATTTTTAACCGCCAATTTCCAGTTGGAGATCGATCATGAGACATATCGATTATTTCGAGAATCATAGGAAGTGTATTCCGTATTTCACCGTTGACGCTATTATCTTTAATTAATTTACTCAATACGCGCATTTCGCACGACAGATTAACTGGAAATAAAAAATAAAAAAATCTGGTTTAAATCAAAAACACAAAATTTATGAAATGCTCTTAGAAACGCACGAATATATTCAACCACTCTGTATTCCGTTCTATTAAACAAAATTGAAAATTCATTATTCGTGCATTTTATAAGACAAATGAAACATTGCAAGACAGTGGAAGATCTCCTATTGGTGACGCAAATCCGAAACTTCCTGAATTAATTCTATTAATTAGTTTATTTCGCAAAAAACCCTCATTTTGAACATGGTCGCACCATCTGTTAACGAACATAACTACTAAAAAATGTCGAAAACTTTATTACCGATATTTACCGACAGGTGATATCACCGTATTCAAAAAGAATTTGTTTTAATTACAAAAAACATTAATTGAGAAGATTAATTTGCAAATTTTTGAAAATGCACCATCAATTTCAGACCTTCAACTTCCTTTCAACATTCCATTTAGTCTGCAAAATATATGAATAAGGATTTTTAAATTTATTTACTTATCTATAAATGAAAACCCCTTTTCGAGTAATATTTAATTTCTAGTAAATCATATTGAAAATTAGAATTAAATTCATTCTAGTTAAAAGTATCAGTTATGAAATACATACGTATGTAATGCAAATTAACCACATGAAAATATAAAATTAATTATATTTTGTGACATTCAAATGATAGTTCCACCATTTCACCGCTACGTGGCACTAGCGTTTGAGGGTCCATAAATCGCGCAAATTTTAAATTTCCTAAAAAAAAAGCTAATGAAGAGAATTGTTTAATCGGGGTGTCAAATGATATTGCACTTAACTTCTAACGAAGAAGAACACACAGACAAATATGCATCGAGAAGATTAATTTGTGAATTTTGTAACTGTACCTTTTTAATTAGATCCTCAACTCACAACTTTAACTGAGTTTGGTAAGGATATTTTGTTACGATTTAATTACATATGAAGACATATGTTTGCAATTAATATAATTAATTATTATTACTATATAAAACCCAATTATTAACAATTGGACGTATGGAGATAGATCCGCTTAATAATCAATAAGTTCACTGTTCTAATTATTCCTCTAACAATACTCACAAACATATCCGAGTATTGCAGCTTCCTGCTTCAATTATCTTAAGTTAGTAAAAATTTACAAACTAATAACCGGATATCGCGGTTAACGTACGTTTGAAACATAACGAGGAACACAGCGTTACGCTTTTCAAGAAATTACGCGCTCATTAAGGTCGATAAGTTGTCCGAGTAGCATGATTCAAGAAGCAAGAGTGCTAGTAAAGACAGTTATCGGAGTACCGAATTGGTGCACAGACACCATCATTCGTAAATCGATTGAAAAATAGTCTTAAATTCGATTTCAAATATTTAAAATATGGATTCTTCGGTGATATTTATATCGAATCTTTTGCTCTGGTTTCGTAAGTAAAATATATTTTTAATCTCTTTTTGAATGAGTGAATTTTAGTTCTTTTTTTCATAGGTTTATTCATCGCAATGGACGCCTTACCAACTTTGGGTTACGTTGTAAGTTAAATTTTAAGCTACCTAAAAGTTGATTAAAATTTAATCTTTTAACGAAATTAATTAAAATACTTGCTCGACAGGATCGACATCGTCTAGAAACGTACGAAGATTTATCTGGAGAGAAGGACGACTTGGACATTTTTAATAATCTTACATTCCGATTTTCCTGCAAGGGCAAACCGATTGGTTTATACGCTGATTTGGACTACGATTGTCGAATTTTCCACGCGTGTGACGACTCGGGGAAAGGTTTCCCCGTCATTTGTCCAAACAACACACTTTTCGATCAAAGGGAACGAGTCTGTAGCGACGAAGAACACATTGACTGCGAACGTGCAAGCGAGTGGTATTTCAAGTTTTAACTAACGTTTTGACATCTCATTCAATGTTCCATTGTTAATGACGCGACAAACATTATAATCTAGGTTCTATTTAAACGAGTTACCATTCTCTGCGGAAGTGACAGAAGAAAATCATACGCAGTCAGAGGACGTGCCTTCTGTGTTGCCGCTTTTGTTATCGTGATCAATTATTTTTTAATATAAAAATACTCAACGAAGAAAACGCTTGACTGCGCGTTGGAAACACCAAAATTTATGAAACGACCACTTCTTTTCATCCAACGAGCTCGATTTAGAATCCAACCGCGCGTAATCGTCAGAGTATAAAAAACATAAACGAGCAAGTGTAGTCTAGATAAATAAACGAAATGAACTGAATCCTGCGAGTGAATCCTTGAAATTCCATCCCTGCAATCCTCTTTCCTCGATTTATTTTTTTTCGCCGGCAAGAAGCAAGACAAGAGCAGTTGGATCACTCGGGCATATCTCGCGATCTTTATCTCCATTAGAGAACGAAATAATCTACAGTATTGCGAATGAAAATCAGGAGGCGAGTGGGATTCTCAAGCGTGTTTTATTCTTTCGTAAACGGGGGATATTATTGCGAGAATCGCTGACAGTCTTACGAGCTAGAGGCTTTTACATTATATATATAATCATCTACGCGTCTTTAATTATTGAGCACATGAGTTTGATTACATAGAGATCGATAAGAGAGAACAGCGCAACGAAGATACTTGTGTTACCCTCCACCATTAAACCCTCCACAAGACGAACAAGAGCTGATACGAATTTCATTGAGCAAACTCGTCGAAACTTTGTTCCTAACTAACAGTTGAGTCTCTGCAGTCCGTGCTATGTGAGAAATGTCTATGCAAAATATGTGTGTTATTCATGTAGGAAGACTGAGGGAGAGCAACCGACGACCACGATCGGCCGTCAGCCGCGTACGGAAGAAAATTAAAGCTAGCCCAATACAACGTTCATTGTTATTCAGCCTTTAAGGTTAACGAACGACGAACCCTCGAACAACGAAATTATCAACTGTTAACCCATTGACCACCACGCGAGATTCATGCGTTTTGCGTGTAAGATGGAAAATTCAATTTTTGTAAGATGTTGCGTTACAATAAGAAAAATATTTCGTAGTATTATATTTTCATCTTGTTCAAATATCAATGGCAATAGAAAAATTGGCAGTCAACGTGCTAATAGTTGTGCAAGTTTCGTACATATTTTAACTACAATTCTACCATAGTGTAACCGTAATCAATAGACTGCGGATTTTCAGTGCATTTACAGAAGGTTTGATGCGACATACGGAATATGAAAAAAAAATACAGTAAGAACTTTCCATCGAAATTTCAACGACATTCTCAAAAATATGAATTTGCTTGAATATCCGCAGTCATAGCAATCGATATGTATCATAGAACCCTCTTACTCGCGTAATATTCGCTTATAGGCAAATCTACGCACCCGAAATCCAGATTTCGTGTTTCCAAACATCCGAAATCCACGCGATCGAACGCTCACTTCTGCCTATCGTTACGGGCCTATCGGGACCGCTACGCGTGAAAAGACATCTACTAATTTTTTTACCAAGTACATCGACGTTGATTAAAAAATCCATATTGGTCAAATATTTATCGTAATAACTATGAATAGTAAGGGGAGCCAGACTCGTACTGAGTAGGCCAAGAGATTCCTGGCCCGTGCTTGTCGTTGTCGTAAACGTACTTAATTTTTGGATGGCTGCTCGACCCGAAGAAGGAGTCTCGTATTATTCCAAACATCGCTGCTCCCAGAGCCATGTTACTGATCATACCGGCCATTGACGCGGCTGCGCGAGCATGAGCCAAGGCCATCTGAAGGAGAAACGACAGAACGAGCCCAAATCCCGGCACCATCTGCGTCATCTTCATCTTGAGAGCTTTACCCGCATGGATCATCGAGTTCGTCACCTTTCTCGACACGACCTCGTCGTGCAGACGCGGCAGTCGAACGACCAACGTGGATTTCGCATCCCTTCCACGCTCCTCGACAATTTTATTGTTCTCCACGCTGTCGAAACTTTCTACGCTGGGCTCCTTCAAACGTCTGTCTGAATATTTTTCTAGAAACGACTTGAGGTAGTTTCTAGCGCGTTTCTCTCTCTGTCTCTCTTCCTGGTCCCCTGAGAACTCCTTCTCGAGATCGTACGTCACTTGGCTCTTCGTCGGTGGAACCTTCAGCTCGTCGGAAACTTTCTGAGACTCCAAAGACACGATGTCTACGTCCTTGGTTGGAACCGGCGCCTCGTTCCCCTCGTTCTCCACTTTAAAGTCAGAGCCGAGAGACTCCGCCCCGCTGGAGTCGAGCTTGTCGTGCAGCTTCGTCCCGAAGAGAACTCCGAAAGCGTCGTACGCGTCTTCCGAAGTGTAATACCTCGTGTCGTCGTTCTCCACGTCGGAATCGTTGGACTTGATCTTGTCGAGGAACATCGTTATGATGTCGTCGTCGTTCATCGATCTCTTAATGTCGACGATCTCCTCGGTGTTCTTCAAGAACTGGACGTCGGCCTCCCTCGAGCCTTCTATACTCCTCTCCTTCTTCTCCTTCTCCTTCTTCGTTTTCTCAGATTCGGGACGTTGGTCCAGAACCTCCTCCATTATGTCGCTTATGATCGTCAATATGCTCGGGAGATTCTTGTTGTCCTTGAGCTTCGCGCCCCTGCCTTCCCTGAAACCGGTAAAGCTGATGCCCACCTCGTTGTTCCCGTAGCCCTTGATCTTAAGGAATCCCAGATCCGTCTGGAATTTGTCCTCGGACAGCTTCCTGTACCAGTCGAGAAACAAACCCTCGATCGACTCCTTCCTCTCCAACAACCTCCGCTCGAACTCGGCGCTCGACATGCCGAACAAGTCCTGCACCTGACTCTCCGCGTTCATGTTCATGCGTCCCAAGACACCGAAGCTCGGGAAAGAAGGCAAATTGCTGACGACGAGCGGCCAGATGAAGATGCCCAGGCATCGAATGAAACTGAGACTCAGAAGACACTGTATAACCTGTTGCGTCAGCCCTTTGCTCGACGGCCGATCGTCCAATTCGTCGACAACCTTGAGGATCTCGTACTGATCGGCGGTCAGTGAATCTCTAATCGTGGAGTTCAACGTGTCGACGAGATACCGCTTCGCGTTGGAAGTACCTGCGTTAGAAAGCCTCGACTTGTCTCTCACTCGGATCAACAACCGTAGGTACTCGGATTCCGTGATGTTTGGAAACGTCACCGGCGACGACGACGAGGACGCGGAGCTATCCTCCGCTTCCTCGTTGTCGTAGTAAGTATTGAGAACGTCCATAGCGCTTCTACGTTGTCTACTCTTGACCCTCGACGATTTCCACTCTGTCATCTTCTTCAGACTGTCGGGGAAGTAAATCTTCTCGTCGGAGAGGTCTATGGGAATGCCTGGCGGTTGGCCTGCGTATCCTGGGACGGGTCCTTTGTTATCTGCAAGAATAAAAACGATTAGAATTCTCAGGCTCTGCCAGCTTCTACGAACGTTAATCAACGATAGATTCACCTACTGACGGCGTGATCGTTGGGTTTCTCGATTTGTTTTCCTGTGGCGCTGCACGTTTGACATTTTCCACTGATCTCGAGCGTCCACCAACTGGCTGAGACTGCGTGGCCGCTGGATTTCTCGATCTGTTCTCCCGACTCTCCACGCGTAAAGCCTGGGAGCTCGATGTCGCGAGGTGCTGCGACGTTTTATTGGTCAAAGGCAGGTTAACAGGCACGAGTCTCAGGATCTGCAAACTACTTGGAACGCTACTGATGGCAGGATCAAGGTCGCCGATGCTGGCAAACTCGGGTAGAGATTGATTGTATTGCTTCAAAGTTGGCCAGGTAATGTTGTTCACGCAGGCTATGAAGTTGTAAAGCGTTGTACAGTCCAGCATCCTGGCGACGTAGGACTGGCGAACTGCGATTGGCACACCCCTCTCCGACAGTCTGACGATGTTCACCTGTCGTCCGTTCAAGATCGAAGCGACAGGAACGGACAGATTCAAGTACGATCGCTCTAGTTGCGGAGTTTCGGCCAGAATGTTCGACAAGACGCTCTCTACCTTCTCCTCGGCTGCTTTCATCAGCGCTTCGGTCTCTTTGTTCGACTCGATCTGAGGAGCCTGCACCTCCGAGCTGGAAGGTCTCTCCGAGAGAAACACTTGGAACCTGATGGAGTTGGAAGTGGACGCCTGTGGCAGGTTCTGCAGCGTGCCAAAATTTGGGAAACTCGGCAACCACGGATAGTACTTGGCGATCGTTGGCCAAGTCACGTCTCGGGAACACTCCAGGAAGTTCCTCTCCCTGATGCACGAGTCCAGTCTCTCGATGTACTCGGACCTCGTCGACACTGGCAGTAAGCTCTCGACGATGTTCACGATGACGATCTGCTGTTCCGTCAGAATCGGCGAGAACTGTTGCGTTCTCGCCAGCGCTGCCGAATCGGGCAAATTGGGGATGGACAGTTGAACGGCCTTGAGAATGTTCAGTATGATGGTTTCCGGCAGGTCGTTGTAAATCGGGAAGAACCTGGTGTCGGTGACAGTGACGGTGGTGTCCCCGTGTTGTCCTGTCTTCACAGCGGTTTCCGAGAGAGGGCTCGACGTGGTCGGCGGCGGGTCACCGGGTTGCGTGTCGCTCACGATCCCGAAATTCGGGAAATTCGGCAGCGAGAAGTACTCCGAGATCGCCGGCCAGATTACGTCCCTGGCACACACGAGGAACGTCTCGTTGCGAAGGCACTCGAGCAGCTTGCTGGCAAAATCCGGTCGAACGTTTTCTGGAAGCAAGTTGGCCACGATGTTTATTATGTTCACCTGCTGCTGACTCAACAACTCGAGGAAATCCGGAGTTTTGAACGTGGAATTGGCGGTCGCCGGGCTGGATTTCATGGACTGCAGCTGAACCGATCGGAGAAGATTGTAGATCACGGACTCTGGATGCTCGGCGAATATCGGAACGAATCTGGTGCCCGACACGATGATCACTGGCTCGTTGGGCAGCTTGTTTCGCGACTCCTTCTCCCTGGCTCTGTTCTCTTGCTCTACGTTGGACACTCGTTCTCGTATCGTTATCTCCGAGTTTATCGACGCTTCCTTCGTCTCGGCCAGACCTTGCCTATTGTTTGGCAAATCGATCCGATCCTTTATACCGGCTACGTCAGACTGTGGAAACTCCGGCAAGTTCGGCAAGTACTTGGCGATCGTTGGCCACACGATGTACCTGGCGCCGTCGATGAAATTGTTGTACGTCTTAAGGTAGGAAAGAACGTTAACGGCGAAATCTGCTCGGGCAGACTGCGGCAGGAAACTCTCCGCCAAGCAGAGGATCTCCATCTGCCTCTTCGTAAACGCGATGTTGCTCCGCGTCAAGACGAACGAGGATATCTCCCTGTCGTTGTTGGAATACCTCAATCTCTGCAACGTCCCTAGAACTTGCGTCTCCAATTCGTCCGAAGATTCTAACAGAATTCGTCGATCGGGTATCGCTGCCAAGTTTGACCCTGCTCCGATCGGCAAGTAGTAGTTGACGTTCGACTGGCTGGACAGTTCGTGAACGTACCTGCCGACGTCCGACAGTCTCGGATCCTGGAACTCTGGCAGGAAAGTGAAAATATCGGGGAGTGTCGGGATGAAGTGTCTGACCGTCGGCCAGGCGGAATACTTGAAGCAGGAGAGGTAGTTGTACTCCTTCATACATCTGACGGTCCTTTGAACGAACTCAGGCCGATAAGAGATCGGGATCAGCTTCTCGGCCATGTTGATCGTTAGTAACTGGTCCTCGGGTATCAGAGTTATATACCTGTCGATCGATTCGTCGAGGAAAGACGGGGAGGTGGGTACAAACGGCTGTTGCTTCAGAGTGTTCCGAAGCACACGGATGATGAGAGTTTCCGGCGTGAGAGTCTTCGTTCTGATACCGTCAGCGTCCACGACCTCTGGCAACTCGGCCAACTCTTCCGAGAAGCCAGGAAACGGGATGATGGGGTACTGCGGAAACACGTCGATCACCGGATACCAGCCTTCGTAGTCCGGGAAAGGTGGCAGAGACGGGAAATACTGTTTGACCAACGGCCAGGCGAAGTACTTGACGCAGCTGTAATACTCGAATCTTCGGATGCAGGAGAACATTTTGTCGGAGTACTCTCGCCGCGCGCTTTCCGGCAAGAACGTCTCGGCCATCTGAAGAATGGCCAACTGCCCGGGCGTGAGAAATCTCCGGAGAGTGTCGTTCTTCGGGTCGATGTACGAGGGCAGCGTATCGTCCTTCGGATACGATTCCAAAGCGTTCGCCAAGATGCTGTACACCACGAAGTCCGGCGACAGGATGCCGATTCGACGAAGGTCGTGCGCCCTGCCCGACTTTTCTCTCGCGCCCTGAAACAAGTTCACCTCGATTGGAAAGTTGCCGAAATTCTGGATGGATTCGGGGAGATTGTCCGCAATAATCGGCCAAACGAAGATTCGCAAACAATTGAAGATGCTCAGTCCTCGAATGCACTCCGTCAGGCTGACGACGAACGACTGCCGCTCTCTAGTCGCTAACAATTGCTCGGCGCATCTGATTATTCGAAGTTGAACATCGGTCAGACCGAGTTCTTTCAAGCTACTCGCGTGAGAGTCGTTCAAAGGCTTTAATCTTTTCGACCGAACAATCCCCTCCAACGTGTCTAGCAACTGATTCTCCGTAAATCTCGGAATTTCCGGCAGCACGTCCCCCTTCTGCACGAACGCGCTGTTCCCAATCTGTCTCTGCAAGGAAATCGCCTGACTCTTCCACCTTTCGAGAAAACTATACGCTCCTCCCGACTGTCTAACGTCGTCTGATAGTTTGACACCTTCTTTTACCTTGTTCCTTCGCTCGCTGTGGACACCTTCCTGGGTGAACGCCACCTCGTCCATCTCTAGCTTCCGTTTAAAGTTCAGAACCTGCGCCTCGTCTATCTTGTCGGTCCTCTGAGCGTCCAGCGCGTCGTCCCGAATCGATATCAACTTCCTGATCTGTCCGTCGACGATCGACTGCTGCTCTCCATCGGACACCTTCTTCTCCTCCGCGTTCAGGTAGACAGTGGAACTCTTGCGTTTCGACTTACTCTGAGACTCGTCCAGAGATCTGAATCCTCTGTCCGCGTGAGACTCCTCAGAGTCCGAGCTCTCGTTCGACGAGATCTCCTCCTCGCTCTTGCCATCGTCACCCTCGAGCTTTCCCGACTTACGATAGTAACCGGGAAGTGCCTCCTCCGATCGTTCACCATCCTCGGCGTGGCTCTCTTCAGGGTCATGTACCTCGGACTTTTCAAGCTTCACTGCTATTTCAGATTCCTCGTGTTCCTTTCTACTCCGCTGCTCGTCGATCGCACCGTCAACGTCCACTCGCACGTCGAATCTCCTGATGCCCTCGTCCTTAGCCTGCTCCGCTAGAACCGCTTGGCTCTCTCGAACCTCCTGGTCGGGTTTACCGATCAAAGCAACGTCGTTTCTTCTGCGTTTCTTCACCACGCCAACCTCCTCCGTCTCCTTTCTCATTACCTCGCCGCCTTCGTCGGTCGCTCGAGTCTCGTCCATCTTCTTCGCACTGGGTCCTTCCTCCAACACCGAGGAAGAATCTTCCTCGTGACCGATTCTCGGATTCGTCGATCGCGAAATTTCATCGTCGCCCGCATCGAGTTTCCCTCGCGCCACTTCCGGCGCGTTGTCCCCCGAATCTACCTGGCCAACGTCGCCAACCTCCTTATCGATCGGCGAGAGTTTGTCAAGCTGCGCCCGGTCCTCCTCATCGTGCGGCACGCTACGTGATTCGACAACGCGCAGAACGAACAGAAGGAACAACAACAGGCAGAAGAGAGAGAAACGAGGGAAGAAACGGAAGGTAGTACCGGTGGTTGTGGGCTGTGTGCGTCGCGAGTTGAGTGCTCTCATGGTCGCGGTCGAGAGGCGAATGTCTCGGCCACTTGTAAGCCGGTCTATGGTCAGCCATGGCCGAGAGGTATGGTAATACATATAGCGTATTGGTCCGCGGGACGCAGCGGACGCGGAGATGACCGTGAGAGTGTACGTACAGGCTCGACCAACGAGACGCGCCGATTCGCGAGACTGTGTGAATAAGAAACAAGCCGGGAATTTCCATTTTTACGCTGCCCCCTCTCTTACGAAGCGCAGCCCCCCCGGGGTTGCGAGCGAATCGAGTTCGCGGTCTAACGGGTGTAGACGCGTTTTATCTTCGCGCTTCTTACGACTGTCCGTCCCCGGCGAACCAGAAGATTCGCAGAATCACTCCATTAACCCTTCAACGACGCGGAATGACAATTTTCCTTTTACGTGGACGGGAGAAGATTTATGTAAAGCTTGATAAAAACTGTTCAATTTTGTTTTTCTTCAGAATCATTAATGCAGCATCGGTTATTATAATTAATCTGTAGTTATAATTTTAGTTATGTTTAAATATAACAGATGGCCTGTGCTTCTCTTTTTGAAAAGAGCAGGGTCGAGCGAGTTGAAAAACCGAGAAAGAGCTGTTAAAAGTGTCGATCGTGTTGTTGAAAGAGTTTGTTTGAGCTGTTAATTCGTGTTGTTTGAAAGTTATTTGTCTTGTTTAATTATTTGTTGTTCTATTGTCATTATTTTTATTAAATAAACATTATTTATATTATATCTCTACATGGATAATGCCTGTAGTCGTCCTCTGGCGTCGTCGAACCATAGCAACGTAAACCCTTTACGTTATTTAATTTTACAATCCTCCAGAGTCGACGAATTTTTGCGTGTTGAAATGAAAAATTTGGAGCTCATTTGTCAGCCTCTATCATCGGTAGCCAGCCAAAGGAGATTTTCAGAGAAATTTCCAAGAAATTGCGGGATTACGAACTTACCGAGTTGATTCATTAAAAACTCGATCGCGAAGGTAATATCGCTTCTCTTTTATGGTTCGACGTCGTTCGAGCGACGAGTCAGTTACACCGGCTGCCAGTTTAGTTTCTTCTTGCAAAACGGTAATGAGCCATCTAACCTTGAGGCAGTGGTGCTTGAAAAATAACGTGGTTCGCTCCTCTGCGTGAGATCTGACGCGAGGTCCTCTCGCGATTCTACTCTCCTGTCCCTCCGGTACCGTTCTTGCAACGCTGACCTACGATGTTCCGCTGTCGATCTACCTACAGAATTATACTGAGAATCCTCGCTCAATTCTCTTCACTATGATCGTACCCTAAAATTCTGTCAGACTAAGAGAAATTGATGCACAGTGCACGATATAACAAAAAAATGTCCCTCTAGATTTTATATGGAACAGAAATCGAATCTTTCTTCGTATCTCTTCATTGTCCTCGTTTTTTTCTGAACTTGTTGAAGAAAGGAAATTCAAAGCGGATTGTATTGGTAGAAAAAGAAAAAGAAAATTATTTTTTGATCAGTTTATCAGTTTCTTTATCGTACTCTTAAAATACCCGAGCCGAGGTCGACGTTTCAAAGGTTCGCCACGTTCGAGTGGCGAAGAGTCGAGAGAGCGGAGAGGAAAAAAGAACTAGCGCGAGGGAAGAAGTCGCGAGACGGAGGGAGCAAGCGTGTGCAACTGGAATACAGTTGGCAAGCCGAGTCTCAAGCTCGTTTTTAATACTTCGCCTTTCTGGTTCTGGCGCAAGGGGTTGGATTTTTAGTCCTTGAGTCGAGCGACGGCCAGGGAGAATGAGGAGCTACTCGGCAACAGGATGCACACCTGCGGAGGGTAAAGAATTTTTACGGAGCGCATTATTTTCCAACATGGCCTCCTCCGTTTCCTTCTTCATAGGCTCTTCTCTTTCTCTCTTTCCTCTCCTCTTTACTGGGTTCACCGACGCCAGTAAACCTGTACCGCCTTTCTTCCTTTTATCCATCCTCAAGAGTACTCGGCTCTTAAGGTGTATTCACAATCGGCGCGTGACTCCGTGTTCGCTGCAGTAACAATAACCAGAAAGGCCGCCGGGAAGAGTTTGTATCATGCAAATATCGCTGCTTTCTCTCGGCTACTTTTACCATTTCACGCTTGTCAGCTTGTCGACGTTATGTCACTTGATTATCTGGCAAATTTCACAGATAATATCGTGTCGGCCTAATGAATTAATCTGTCTTTAACAAGGTCTTTAAGTTACCGAACTGCGTAATTTACTGGATATGCTTGATACGTACACTTTCGCTCAGAAGATTCAAACACCTGAAATAATATCGAATATTCTTTAAAAAAAAAGAAACAATTTTTAAAGTTGAGAATATTTAACACACTAGTCAGTATTAAATTTAATTTATAAACTTTCGTGGAACCGTTGTGCCATCAGTGCGTTAAAGGTCGACTAATTAAAGATCGATTACATGGCTGGAAGAATTACTATGATTGTAATTTCTTTGAAAACTACGGACCATGATCGTGTTTTCTGCTGCAGGAACGACTGCATTAAATTAGCAGGGCGTGAAGCCACCGAGAACGCATGATAAACGAGACTATATTCTATATTCGTTCGCCTCTTTTATTCCATAGTACTTCCACAATTTTAAGAAAAGGAGGCTTCCTTTCCACGCCACGACAATGAGCAACGATGGACGAATATATGATGCAGCTGACGACCCAACGATCCTCAAAACACAGGTTTCCACGGTCGAGCAGACCCATACGAAGCGAGGAATGCGCGGATGATCGCGGGACAGTGACCGTGACAGTGATATAGAAAGTGGGACATGGTGCAGAGAATATTTCATACGATTCGTCAACTGACAACGCGTAACACGTTAAATGTAGTACTATGAATTTCGAATAATTTCTTCTTCAAAAGAAACTCGCTGCTGTAATTCTGGTAATGCGATCTTGAAATTATCGAAAGGAACGCTGAAATTCCAGGTAATACGACTCGACGAATTTTTGAAGAGTGATTGATAATAAAAAAAGAAAAAAAAATGCAACTCGGCGAACACGGAACGGGACCCACGCTGGACACGCGGCACGTTCTAATAGCGTTGTTGAAAAGTGTTTCAGCGGCGCGGCGCGGCGTCCACGAAATTCTCTCGAGTCAGTCGAGGAGGAAATTCGAGGGAATGCGCAGATCCACCGCGCAACACGTAAGGCCGATCCTCTTTTCGAGTTCGAACGGCGTTGTGCGCGTTTGTACGAATCACACGTAGCGGCCGATTGGCACACGCTGGTTAAATTCGTGGTTCCTGCTCCACCGTGTATTCGATCGATCGCATCCACGCATCGAGCAACGCGATCCCGGCCGGGCCCCAGGAAAATTCTTTCCCCGGGAGCGGATTCCCCGTGGTCTGATGAAGAGAATCACGTGATCGTAACCGGTTCGATAATGCGGCCGATTGGTTGGACGTTGGCCTGCGCGTTGCTCGCCGCTACTTTTCCAAAACGTGCAATCCTGCCAGGCGTGCAGAGTGTTGGTGTCGCTACGTCGTCGTATCAGCGTGAAGCTGGACGAGCCAATGTCACTAAATCGCTGTCGATCATATCCAAGGACGCGAGCGTGGATCCCGATATCCAGGGGCTGAGCTGGTTCATCGATGACACACTCGTTGGTGGATGGAACGAGGTTCGAGGTAAGCTCGATGATACTATCGTTTGGATTATCAAAATTGTTACTATCGAATGTTATTGATGGTCAGATAAAAAGATAGTTAAACGAGATGTTAAATATTTAGAAAAGACGAGCAGACAAGCTCGAACGTTTGGCCATAAGCGAATTCAATTTATGCTGATGCCGATGATGTACAAAATGGGAGTGATGATGACGATGCTGACTGTATTAACGATGATCTCGCTGAAGGGATTGCTCATTGGTAAGTGTCTCTCTCTTTTTATGTAGCTATTGCACTTACGAAAAGATAACGGTTCAGTACGTTACGCGCATACGAAATCAGGAGACATCGACGACCCGATTATCGATAAATGCCTCTCGAGACCCGCCATAGAGACGACAGACTCGCTACACACAATTGAAAAGGAATTTTTCCTGTCGCGGAATCATTTGAATATAGAAATTATTGATTATTGCAGGTGCCATATTACTGATGCTAAAACTGAGCACGATAATAGCCAAATTCTCCTCCGGTTGGCAGCACGACGCACAACATGCTCACGCTGCTCAACCGATCCACGTGCACGTACACAATAGCCTACCAGTCGCTCACAATCAAGCGTACAGCGGCTGGATGTCGGCAAGCGGACCAGAAGATATGGGAGAGCAACACTACTACTACAGAGGATGAATTCCTCTGACGATAGCCTTCTCTCTCGGAAGCTGTTTCTTCGATCGTTGGCCATTCGAACGAGGCTATCGCACTTACCACGATTGGCGATTCACGTTCGAGAGAACTAGAACGATCGCGTTGCGGTTTTCGAGCAAACGTCGACGATACCAGAGCGAACCAGAGCTCAGTCTCTCGCGTACCAAAGTTCTGTTTAAGTATTCTGAAAATAAGACTGGCTCGTGTCGTGTCGTGTCAAACGGAACCAAAATTGCAAGCCCGTACGTTTAAGCAATCTCAGGTTTTACCTTAAGCTAGCGATAATGTTTATTTAACTTTGTAAAGAAGCTACGTACGTCTCTGCTCCTATTTATACGAAACCCATGTACCATCGTAGAAATGTATTTATTAAATCTTTTCTTTTTTCGGAAATTTTTCATCTTGTCTTCCTTTCTAAATTAAGTTCGACTTTCGTAGAAAATTTTCAACGTTCAATTCTTTTTTTTTTATTTTTCTTTTTTACTTCGACGAGAGATCAAAAAGCGGGGAAGGATTGCGATGGTTTTTAACGGTGAGAGAGCAAATTTGAATTTTGCGCGTTTCAAGGTTCGCTGAACTCACACGCGTCCGCAACCAACCGGCGTGTTTATTACGCCTTCTATGACATGAATCCCGGCAACAGACTGCAGAGACCCAGTTTCCTGGCCTTAGTGGGGTAAGCAAACGCGAAAAAGGAACGTGTCTGTTCTTCACTTGCTAGAATCTACATCTAGTAGCCTTCTCGCCGATCTGATGCAAACACGCGCGCGTTGTTTATCAAACAACTGATAAAAGATCGACGTTGGCCTTCCGAAGCGTGTGAAGAATTTCGCCAGCCCTCCAAGTAACAAATTATTCTGGAAATTTAAAAAATTCGAGATAACTTGAACATTGTTCCGACAGTTGTGTCAATTTGTTTCAAGGAGCCGGATGTAAGAAAAACTCACGCGACAAACGCGAAACAAATATTACTCGCTGCACACGCGAGGCAATAATCGCAGGATAGAGGTACCTTATTTCCTTTAATGATACCGATAGAATGATAAAGGAAGAGGTAAGGAATTAATCATCGTCAGTTAGAAAGGCGATTGAAAGGATGGGTTAACGGGCTCGCGTTTGTATCGAGTAATGAACTTTCTAGCCGACCTAGCCATGAACGGACTGGACGCAATATTTTGGTGTTCGTGTGTCGTCATTGTATTCCAAACTTTGGCTCGTGCTGAGGATGTTGCAAGTAAGTCGAACGACAGCTTGAGGATCGACGTTACCCGAGGGATTGCACTGTACGTCGGTGACGACGAAGCGAGCGTTACACTGAGCCTGTCGTCTCTGTACGAAAGTAAGTAATAAAAATCGTATCGAAAAATCGACGTTTAACGTGAATGACGCGATCTGTTGCGATTTCTTTCCAAGGGAACGGCGTGGAGCAACGGAGCGCAGGAAAAATGAAATTTAACAAAGATACGCTGAAAAGAATTGGAATGGCGATGATGATGGCCCCTGTAATGTGGCAGGTTTGGACTGAATTTACACTACTATATTACTTCTAAACGAAAATTGAACAATTTGAAAAGCTTTACACCTAAAGATGTGATTCTTCGAATCTTAGTTGGCAGGGTTACCAGGCGCTCTTGCCGCCATCAAGCTGGATCTACTCCGAAGCATCATCGTCGGGAAAATCGCGCTAGCAGTGATGCTGTTTAACGCGCTGAGGAATTCGCAGAAATCGGAAGTAGTGCTGGTCCACAAGCCTGAATATCACAATCACTATTATCACGAAGATAACTACGAAGGCTGGTGAGGACGACACCAGTGGAATGGCACTCTTCAAGATAGAACATACTTCGATTACCTTACTCGAATAATTGCTGTTCCTGTGAAATGGTCTGTCTGTGACGCGTAACGTTCGCAAACGTGAAACGATTAAAGAAGAATACGCGATTTCCAAGGTGCGATGAAGCCAAAATTAAATTGATTTTCGAGGAAACGTCGAGATATTGAAACGTCGAGGAGGCCGCAACCATTCCGAATGACCTACTTCGAGTTGGTAACGGCATTTTGGTCCAGATTCTGAAGCGATTCACCTCCGACTACATACCAGTTTTCCCTTTTCTCCGCCGTTCAAATTCAACGTCGAAATCGAAATTAAAACCGATGCCGATCGATTTCAACGGCGACTCGTGTTGCTCTCGCGTGAACGCGATTTTATTTGATAAATTTCGATGTACAGCGGCTGACATGTGTCCAAAGCATTTGGACACTTGCCATGAGAAACATTCGTGTATATATTTATCTACCTATGTACCGTGTGTTTTGTATGAGACATTTTGAAATTTTATTCAAATAAAATCAGGCAGGACTTATATTATATCAGTTATATTAGTAGAATTTGAAATAGATCAGGAACAAAATATTTGTCACTTCGTAGAGATTACGAAACCATTCCTCATAACGAGTCTGAATATTTAGTGGCATTAATAATTATATCTGAGATTATTTCACGCTGTGTACTAATTTTCTGCACTATTAAATTGTATTACACAAAAATGTATTTAGTAAAAAAGATTAACATTATTTATGAACTCTAGTTTCTGTCTCTTTCAAAGAAATATTCCAACATCCCTAATCAATCCGATATCCGAATCATTTAAAAAATCATGATTGCAATATTTTGCGACAAGGTAGCACGCACGACACGTTTCATAAAGTATTTCTGCAAATGTTCGAGCATTTTCGCGGACCAGCGTTTCGGTCCCGATTTGAAAAATCTCTCACGTTCGCGGTAACGACGTCCGCGATATTCGAATGCAAAAATTGCAGCAGAAGGTACGTTCCACTTCTCGAGAAACGAGCAAACTGCCGCGTATAACGTTTCCCAGCAGTCGTTCGATCGTTAGATACGGATATAGATCGATGGTTAGGGGGCACGTAACGAAAGTATTGTCAATGTCGAATTTATTTCCCCAAGGCCTCGATATTCGCGGTGCGTATACGTGCCAGAAACCCACCTTCCGTTCTTATAGTTAGTATGCCACCGCCATCGATCCCTACGTATCGACAGCTCGCCAATACGAATCGTAATCCTATACCGTTTTCTAAACTACAAAATGCACGATGCACCGCGCATACGTGGCAAATCAGAATAGAACCCGGATTAATCTCTGTATGCCTGCGGAGCTTAGATCACCGCCGCGCGACGTGAAAGCATTCGACTTTTTCGACAATCGCGTTTCTAATTTGAGCCTGACCGTAGAGAACACCAATTCATCTTCAACAGATCTTTCAACAATCGTTTCTCGTTTACGTAATCACGACAATTACTTTGCCTTTGATCGCATAAATTATCAGTGACTACTTGATATTTAGTTTCGTTCAGTTTTATTAAAATTAAAAAAAGACAGGCGAGATTTCTGACGAGAGAAATAGATACGGTACGTCTATGATTGAAGCTCAGAGGAAATAAACGAGATAAATGATTAAATTTTCATCTTATAATTATTAAATTTTTAATTATTAAATTTTCAGCCTATAATTATTACGAATGGTGATTCCTTCGTTAATCATACGTCGATGATGTATCAAACAATGCGATATGTATTTATATTTCAAGTATGGCGTTAATGGAGAAGACAATCACGCAGAAGACAAGTTTATTAATATCTCCACGACGAAGCTCTCTGTCAGGCGTAAATGATTTAAACCTATTGTACATCATCGTGCAATTACTCAAGCACGTTTTCTTTGCGTTCGTTGTTAACCAACAAAAGCTAAAAAGAATATTCGTTTTTTCAATAACATTCACGTTATTGTTCAATTTTTCCAACTTCGTGGGAAATTAAATGGAATTTAATAAACTAACCAAATAGAGACTTCGTGTGACACAAAGACGCAAAGAAATGTCTCTATTTGAATTCTCCTCGATCTTTAACTGGTGGATCTTTGCCCGAGGTATTTTGCATAATCGATGAAGTTCTAGCGGAACACTTGTGCCTCGAGCGTTAAGTCTTTTGCATTAGAAGAGAATCGAGTTCACGGTGATTCATTCATAACGTGTTATGACAGTTTCTTTGTCACATTGATTATGATGTTTTTATGAGTGGAATCGATTATGCTAATAAAATTGACACAGATAAGTAGCGATACTCGCGGCACTTAGCGGTTCACATTGTTTCGTTGTCGCAGGAAATTTTGTTAATTTCACAGAAAAAGATCTGGACGGCTTCTGATAAATACTCAGTATTCTTAATCGCTGTTAATTATTCTTAATCCATAGCTGTTTCGAAAGTCAACGATTTCACTACAGTTTCGTGCCTCATCGTACTTTAACGACAAATATGGCCAGAATTAGGTTGTATTAGCATCCCGACACTGTTCAAACGGAATTTCTGTCATCCGGTCCACGCACATACGTGACTCACACGCGTGCCAAGTCACAGACATCAATACAATCTTAAATCCTATTACGCTTTTCTGCAACAACGGGGAAAAAAAAAATCACTGACGTGCCATTAAAAATTAATTTTCACCATACCGTTCGATAAAGGAAGGATCTGTCCTTCTAATTTTGGAATTCTTTGACCTTGTAATTTCTTGGAATTCTTTCTTTGAAAGTTCTGAATATGCGTACGTTTGAATTATCGGACTCTTGAGTGTTCATTTTTTAATTTTCTTTAACTTCAGAATGTTTTAATTTCGAAATTTCGAAATATCTAAACGTGCTCAAATCCGGAATCTGTCAAAGTTTTCAAGCTCGGAACTTTGGAATTTTTAAATTTGTAAATGCTTCTAAAAAACACTCGCAATTTGGAATCTTTGAGCTTTCAGAGTCTTGGAAATTGTTCGAATTGTTCGAATTATTCAATTCCAGAGATTCTTCAAATTTGCCCACTCGCGAAGCGGTTCTACGCTCCTCTGTGCGTCAAACTGAAATAGGGAAAGTCGTCTGGCTGGGTAATAAAAATCTCTCCAAAGCGACGCGACAAATTAATAGAGATAGGCTCATTCATTCACGAAAGCAGCAACTCGGCACGTTTCGCGTCTTTTTTTCTTTTTCTCCCAAGATTCGTCTTCTCTCTTGTCCAAACATCCTCAGCTGAAAATTCTTTCCGATTCGCGGCGTCGTCTCGACCCCGACGTCGGAGGTGGTCAGAATTCCTTAAGGAGAAACAGAGGCCTACGAGGCCTTCGTTCCGACGAGTCTTCGTGTGCCCACGAAAACACGACAGTGGGGAGATGCCGGTTGGTTCTGGCTTGAAACAGGATCAACTTGATTGGCGGAAGTTCAGAAGGAAGGGGTTACACTCTCATATATGTTCGACCACGCACCTTCCACAACCACTTGGTGCCCGTGACACGCGGTCCAAGGATATAAAAAGCGGAAGGTCGAGCGCGAATCCGGAGAAAAAAACGGAGAAGGGCGAAGGACAGGGAACGGATGACCCGTGATCTCGCGTAGTGCAAGTGTCTTTGGGAAACGAAATCGTCGTATCACGATAATAAAATCGTCGTAACACCATGAGGATAACAGTGTCCGTTCTCTTGCTGCTTGGGCTCGTTCTCTGCGTTCAGGGTGACGTTACCGAAACCAAAGACGAGGACGAAAGTTACCTGAACTGTCTGCTGGAGGATAACACCGTAGGATGCCTGAGCACGAGGTTAGGCAGAAATCTGGACGAGATCGAGGTACGAGTGACTGGGAAGAACAGCGAGACACCGATGAGTGCGGTCATCGAGCAGGCTGGAAATTTCGTGGCCGAGGTGATCGACGACGTTCAAAATCCCGGAAGATCGGACGAAGTGGCGGAAACCGCAGACGCTGGTGAACAAGGTGAGAGTCGTGAGAGACGTTCCGTGAGAGAGGAACACTATGATTCACCTAAAAAAGAAACAGAATTTATCAGACGTTCGATGTGAAACGAAGCGAAATAAAATTTGTTGCGAGAAAGATATCCTTCGGAGGTTGTTTACGATTGCTCGATGAAAAAAATAGAAAAACTCTAAAATTTATTTCAAGAAAAGTATCTGTTGGATACTCACGATCGATCGATAGAGAAGTAAACGAGGCGCGGCAAGTCGATCGGGCACGTGGAGCACATGATAAAATCAACCGTAAACTTTCTTCCTCCGTGTCTCTCCAAAGAGAGCACAGTTAAAAGCTTGGCTGACTTTTACCGGCCTGAAACTTCTTCCTCTTATCGAAAACTCGTCTCGAGCCTCGTCTCGGTAACCCTTTCGATGTCTACGAAATTTCGCCGACCTATTTTCCTCGTTTGTCTCGACGATTCTCGTTAATTCGGCGCCGTACGAGTGCGAACGCGATGAATGACGCGCACGTGACTGACTTCCGTGAATGAGAGGTTTACGGAAAATCGGCGCTCGGTTTTGAAACGATCAATGAATAAAAGGAGGACAAAGGGGCATTCAGTCGATGCCTAAGTTCCTAGATCTCACGTACGGGACTAATTGTATTCGTACGGAACATTTAACGTTCGAAGATGCGCATTAACATGGGAACGTTAAAAGACGAGGACGTGCTTGTGCACGGTAGCAACGCGTACAGAATGCGTGTCTTTAGGTCACCGACAATCGGCTTCGAAAATCCGATACGTCACATTCCTCAGTTTGCACAATATTTAATGACACGACTTAGACAAATTTGCTGTAACGGTACCGACGCGCTCGTTATCTTCGTTGTCTTTTCAAGAAAATCGCCGCTAGAAAATTGAACAATTTGACGGACAGTCGGGACAATCTTCCGGTTATTGAGCCAAGTATCGTCGCTCTGATTTTTCTTTTTTTTTTTTTTCTTTTTATTTCCCAAATGTTCGTCGACTCGAAAAGCCGTGACTGGTCCTTTCCATTCGAGGAATAAAATTATGCATCCGTGTCTGAGGCATCTAGGTCACCTAAGACTGGTTTATATGAAATTGTTCGTTACTCCAATTGTTTGTATTAATCGAGGCGAGCTGCTGCACGCGCGTCGAAGAGAGAAGTGAATGAAAGTAGAGGCTCAAAAATTAGCGTGTAAATCTGTGCTTCGAGCCATGCTTGTCACAGTTAACCTCACGAACGGATTTGCGGTGGTGTGGGAATCGCGGCCATCGAGTCGACCGAAGAGAGTGAGCTCGCGGTGAAGAGTTAACCGTCTTTGTGTTAACCGATTCGCACGTAAATACGTATTCAAGTAGAAGAGAAGAACTCGATGAAAGATCGACCTCGAGTAGGTTTTGAGATCATCTTTGAGATTCAACGACGCATTCAATTTCAAATTTAAATGTATACAATAATTTAAATACATGAAACACGCGTGACGTTCAAAGATATTCAAAATCATAATTACTAATTATAACGTTTGAAATGTAAAACCGTTTGCTTGCATTCGTAGAAATATAAATTTTCACAGGCATCCACGGCGTTTGAATTACACTGTCGATACAGTCTCATTTCATCTTCAAGTTGAATTAAACTTGACACGTAAAATCAATCGAATAGATCTCACGTTCAAATTTCTCATATGGAACTTTGATTACAGAGGAAGGACGTGGCAAGAAGTTCGGAAAGAAGAAGAAGAAGCAGCTGCAGAGACTGCTCGGTCTGGCCATGTTGTTCAAAGCGAAGCTCGGCCTGCTGCTTCAGCTCATCTCGACGCACTTCCAACTAAAGTTCTTCTTCATCTCTGTCATCACCTTGGTCCTCAACGTCGTCAAGTTTTGGCTCGATTTGAAAAAGTCTCAACCCTCCAAGGTTATCTATTACGAGCACGCGCAACACCAGCACCACTACGATCACGATGATTACGATCATAGCTGGGGACGATCGTCCAACGATTCTCCCCAAGATCTTTCTTATTCCGCCTACGCTCCGAAAAACTGAGATGACAATCAAGCATCATCTTTCCATTGACTAAGTGAATATAAGTAACAGCGAGAACAAAGAGGTGACAAAAAATAGCCTCCATGCTCAGGTTTTTAAGTAATTATTAACTCTTGATTGGTATCATTGGGTCATCGTCAGTCAGAAAAATTTAGGGTTAAAGATTAGACTCAAGTTTGGAATTTCTCATCGACACTTCGGAAATCTTTACGACGCAACGTAAATTGCTGATAGTCGTCTGTGACCCAGGGATGCTACCTGAGGGTTGAAAAATCTGTTAATCGTCGTTCGTTTCTCTGGAAATTAACTCAAACAGTGTTATCTATATTTAATCCTGTATTTATATTAAATTATTTATTTTTTTATTTATGTTAAAACAAAAACGCGTCGACATATCGGCGTTGTGCTTTGGAAAAGTGTCTCCACGTACCTTTTTCTAAATCGCAAAGCATTCGACGAGAGAACCCAATCTCGTACCAAAGTCCATTTTTGCGTGTCTCTGTTATCATACGTATCCCCACGCTCCATATCTGCCGAACTCTCGTTAACTTGTTGTTGAATAACACCTGTAAGAAGCGTTACAATAAATTATTTTGATAATAATTTAAATTCCGAAACGATCTTTCTGAGACGAAGAACTTCGACAAGGCTGTAAGATGGCATTGATACATATTCACGTAACTTGCACACCTGAAACAACTTTTAAATTATGCGTCAAAAATTGTTTAATACAATAGTTGTAGAGTTTAAAGGGAGGCAAAATATGGCGTATCAATTTTTTGTATGCGTTGAAGTTCATCTGTATTTATTTTTTTTTTTTAATTGGACCATATATTTCTTTTCATCATAAATCGGAAGAATATTAAATTCCAAGTAAAAAAGTATTAAGCCACAGTTGTCCTAAAGATTAAGGAGATATTTTACTCATCATATAATAATGAACGATACTCGTATGATAATTTAATCAACGTCTACATTGATGCGTGGCAAGCAAATGATCTTAATGATCTATGCAATTTTCATTCTCGTGTGCAAGTTGTTATTTCACGCGAATCACCCTGTATAGTAATACGAAAGCGCATCGTAGATTGTCGATTTATCGACGGTGAATAAGAAGCAACTGAGGACAAGACAAGAAAGCTTGCCGGATCGACTTACGACCTTCTTTCTCCGTGGAGTGTGGACCAGCCTGGAGCGACCAGTTTTTGTATTCCTCGTGACAGCGCGTAGGGAAATGCGACAAGAATTTTCAACGAGCGCCAATACTCTCGGGCTATTCACTTTGCCGTGATCGCGATCGATCGATAAACACGCGAGATTTCTTCTCCCCAACGACGATCTTTTTCGTTTATTTCACTTTCGATTGAAATCGAAAGCTGCCAATTTCACACTATTGATTTCTAAAAAAAAAAAAATCAAAGAAAACTAAGAGACGGAATTCGGTAACTTTGAATCTTTAGAAAATTTTAGAACACCGATTTTTATGCATTTATGGAGAATCAAAATACGTGCGATGGATATAGAATATTCAATAAATAATATTTAAGGTCCATTCTTTGGTCATGGAAATATAGAAATAAACATCCGTAGTCTAGATGTATTATCTTTGCAGCAATAATAATTTGACGAGTAAGATTCCTGTTCGAGAGAACAGGTGCATAGACGAATAAATCAGGAATTGACGCGTATCGCGTCCGTCATGGTCAATGACCAGAAAACGGCTAGGGTTTCGTAACCGATGAGGCCCCCATGGAAACTCTTAAGTATTCACATCCCGAAGAAGATGGTCGGTGGCGATGCGACCTCTAACAAAGCACGAGGCCCGGCTTCGACTTGCCCTCGGTTTTCGACAGCTAGAAACCTCTTTTCGGAGCTCTGATTGGACCACAGCCAACGGCAGACTATCGTCCCGGCATCGAAATCATCGGAATTCGTATGAAGAGGCGCGCTGATATATCCTTCCGTCGTTCATTTATAGAATTTCTTTGCGCACCAGCTACGTCCAACTTTTTCTTAATTAGCTAACGAAATTCAATCTCGCTTATGCGGCGGGGCTATTTTCACATTCCAAGCCGCATTTGCATCTGTCCTTCGAACGTCACGTCCTCAGGATATTCCTAGAGAAAGAGAGGTGGTTCCTTTCTCGAAGGAAGAAAGGATGGAGGGACTCGTTTCTTGAGACTTATCCGTTTGACGTCAAATTCTCGTTGACCAAGTTTCACGTCAATCCTATTTTCACGCATAGGTGTTCAATTTCATATGGATCTTAGTTTCTGCGTCGTCACGCATCTTCAAAAAAGGTGGTACACCGAATATATATCATTTTATAATAATTGTCTGTCAAGAAACTTGAAATTGTGCGAATGATACGCGTGTTGATTTAACTTACGCAGAACAGATGAGGATCGATGTTCTATCAAAGAAAAGATCATCCCGCTTGCAACTCGATCGAGGAATGCTACCCTCATCTTCACTCTGCGCGAAGAGTTCGATGGATGGATCGAATCGCTGAATGGATTTTCAATCGAACAAACGATGAAAATTACGCGAAACTGGTCGAAGGAATTCGCGGTGGTTGCATGCGCGGGGGAGGCGTATCACTCAGCACATCGGACGGAGAAATTTGCATCGGGCCTTCGAGGATGATGTGGACGTCTGGATGGTCATTGGCAGACCAAACGTGATGAAATTGCTAATTTCTGTCTACCAAGAATTGGCCATTCATACAATATTCAAGATCTTTACGCGCAGGTCACTATATAACACCCTTCTACGGATCGGATCACCAGTCTTCTCAGGATCCCCGATACATACGAGACAGAACCTAACAGCTCTACCCACCCAGAAGAGAACGACGAAAGCGTTTCATTCATCATGACGAACCGACGGACTTGTCTGATTTTATCACTGGCTGTCATCATCGCTGTTGTCTGGGGTTTGCCTCAGCAACCCAAGTCTAGGAGACCCATCCCGGAGTTTAAGGTTTGTTTCGTGTTTTGCGAGAAATGTGCTTTTGCATAATGCATGTAACCACCTTAGAACAAAATTAGAGTGGAATTAAAGAAATGTGCTTTTGCATAATGCATATAAACACCTTAGAACAAAATTAGAGTGGAATTAAAGAATGCAGTAGCAGCTCGTGTATTGTTAACCACTTGCGCTGGCAACTGATTCGCGGACCATAACGAGTGACCGAACCGAAAGTATAGAATAATTCGTCGCTTTCTTTTTCTTTTGAACTCGTCTGATACGATATCACTGGATAGAAATTACTAAGAAGTAATAAACTTATCATTTGTTTTACCTGGGTTACATTTATGTTAATTATATATTAATACACTAAATATATTAATATACTTAAAACTGAGAAAATGTTGCAACTTGGGGCAAAAAATTCTCGACATGCGTGGTACGTCATTCCAGCGCAAGAGGTTAAAAATGTTGCATATTTAATTTCACATTTGCACTTCACACTCTTGGGTCTAGCGAAATCAGCGAGATTAGTAATAAAATGAAATTGAAAGATCGAAAATTCGGTAATTCAATCGTGGTTTCCAAGTGACAGACACTGATTGAAGCGTTGAATTTCAGAATAAAACCGGCGGCTTGGAACTACCGGACAACGCCACGCTGATTCGAGAGAACATCGTGGACAACTTTTCATGCCAGGACAGAATTTATGGTTATTACGCCGACATGGAGAACGATTGCCAAATTTTCCACGTTTGCTTGCCGCAGGCTAGGGGTGCGTCAAGATGGAGCTTCATCTGCCCTGCGGAGACTGTTTTCAATCAAGTGAGTAATCATTTCGCTCGCAGATTTCCCTTACTTCATCTTTCTACGAAATCAATTTATTCGTTCCATTAGGCGACGTTCGTTTGCACGAAAACGGAGAACTCCATACCCTGCGAGGAGTCTGAGAAATTCTATAGCTTGAACGAGGCGATTGGCAAGGAAGTGGAAGAGGAGGAAAGTGACATGGAACAGGCGACAAAAGAATCGGATGTGGAACCAATTTCGACCAGACCACCGGCCAGAACGTCGAGGATTTTGAACAGGAAGAAATCGAGGAACCAGTGACCTCTTTTTTCGGAATTTGAATAATAATCTTGTGCGGAACTGTGTGTGTTTGTAAAAAAGATGAAAGAGACTGTCGAAAGGATTAACTACGTTTACTTGTCTGAAACGAAAAAATAAGTTTATTTGATACTTAGGTATAAATACGGATATTTAAATTATGATGAACAGACTGCGAACTTTTATGCGAATTCATATTTTCGAGAAATTTAATTCAGTGCGATTATGCATCAAAAATTGTACTTTAGACACTTTATATACATCTCCTGCAGTTTTGAATTTTCTGTATAAATGCATAAAAATCCGCAGTCTAATGATGAGAATTGTATGATAAAAAACGCATTAGAGATATTAGCTAGAAAAAGAAAAAAATTGTGTAAAATACAGGAACGTGTTGTAAATTTATAAATATCTAAAGTAAGAAAATCGTTGAAATAAAAGTATGTTGAAGTCTCGGCGAGAAATTTATTGCGTGCAGTGGTTATACAAGTTAATTAATACTGCTAGTTCCATATTTATAATTAAGCAATCACGCGCGAAATGAAGTTACACAAATGTCCCAAGCCTAGAACGAAACACAAAGTGCGACGGTGCGGAAGTAACAAGCGAACAATTATTTAGTGCCTAAATAAAAACGTTGATCATTACGAAACTAAAGAAGCGTACGAACGCCTCTGTTGATCATTTATTTACAACGATTGATATGTGTCGATATTGGTCTTTGCGACTTGTGAATACAAGTCAGGAATAAATTAAACGAAAAACTCGGCTACTGTACATTAATAATATGACGAGTAAGGCGAAAGAAAGTAAATAAACACAAACACACACACGCACACGTGCAAAGCGGCTAGAAATATAAAATCCAATCTCTTCTCGTTTGAAATTCTGGTGGATATTTATTTATGAAATTGCAAAAGTCACCGAAATTGCTTCTTCGGTAAACTTCGGCTCTCGTTTCTATTCGATATCTTTGGATAACTAGCCATTATATCGTGGACAGGCGGTGCGCCTATTCCTCCGTTCATAAATGCCGATAAAATAATCAACGACGACAATTCCATCAACTTCCGTGCCCACACACACTTTCAGAATCCTAAAGCGCGTATCAGAACGGCGATTCAAGTACACTTTAACCGAAAGAAGAAGAATTAAACTCAACGTATGTACACGTACTCATACGTCTCGTTTAGTAGCCATTGGCTACCTATTAAAATTACTATACGAGTACAATATATATAACAACGGTATAAAAATAATATTTAGTATCTAAATGATTGTCCTGAAGGTACGAGTGCTCTTGTACAAGATAAACAACGAGAAGTCACGAGATGAGCACTTACATCTTTGAAAAATCTCTCGAATCTTTTGCACCATAACTTCCTTAAACGAATTTATATAGACTGATTTCGAGATCGTGTGATATAATTGGAAGGGATGCGATTCTTCGCGTAAAGATAAGTCGAAAACATAAAGTATTAATTTCGAAAAAAAAAAACTCTCGTCGTACGAAAATATTCTATCCTACATCTCCGATATATCTTTACACGATGAATCAAGACCTTTCTAATTGCACGAAAATTTCAAAATCACCTTGCATAATGCAATCTTCTATGTACATATATATTAAGCATTTTCGACAATGTGTACCCTGTATTGTCCAACAAGTAGACATCCTACACTTGTGACTATTAATTTCCTTTCAATAATATTTCCCTATCGTAGACGAACGAAGAATTTCTCCCGAAATTTCTTTTTAAATTTCTCCTCTCGTCAAAGAGAAGAACGAAACCTAAGCCTCGGAATCCACCGCCAAGTCAGCCTCGATTTCCTCGGGGCTCCTAAGATCAATGGCGAACCTCTTCTTCGCGTTTTTGCCAGCCATCTCGGCCATTTTATCCTGGGCCTTCACGGTCCTCGAGTAAATCTCGAAGGCCGCAGCCAGGGCGTATGTGAGCTGTCTCGCGTGATGCTTCGACTCGCAAACGAAACCGTGGCATTCAAACGGCGAGACCCTCCTGAAGTTCTCCGTCTCCCGTACGACGATCATGGAGAACACCCGCGTGTAGACGAGATCCTGAACGCCGTAAGAGATCGTCTCGATGGCGTACATCTTGGTGAAGTTCGTGTCCTGTTTCCTCAGAGCGACACCGTCCTGAGAGACGACCAGTTTGATCAAAGGGAGCATGGTGTTTGTCGGTAAGGCCTTCGCGGCAGCAACCATATTATCGACTGGCCTTCTCGTGTGCTTGATGCCCCAGAGGCCCCTGGCAGCGTGAGAGCCCAGATATTTCACCTGAAAATATAGGTCCCCCTATAGTCTCCCACGTGCGGCCCTATACTCAGGTAATAATTAAGCCTATACACGAGACCTTGGACCCCTAACGTGACGCGTAGAAAGCGTAGGTGGCAGTTTCGGGATCGTAGAACTTACGTTAGGAAGACAATATAGATAATGTTACAGTTTGGTTGGTTACAAAACTTGTACGAGCGACTGAAGAGAGTTTGGAAGGAAATACAGGTACGAGGTAAATATTGTTAGATTAGGTATACCTGAAACACCTGAGGAAGATCCGTCGAACCCTCGAAGACATTGTTATCGATGGATAAGCGAAACAGCTTCGACACTAGGTCCTTCTTTTTGTCAGTGGAGCTCGCAGGACTTTTGTCCTTCTTCATCTCGTTCGCCTCTTGGCTTTTCTGCATTGAGAAACGTTCAATGTTGAAAGTTATGAATGTTACAGAATTTCTCGATGCCTTTCGTCTTGTGAAAAGCACGTAATACGTGAAAAAAAATATTTGAAATACCGCTATCTAAATCCTACCTTTCTCATTATTCCCACAAAGATACAAACGTGCGCAAAAATCCGCAGTCTAATGAGAACTAAATCACGTTTCTACGAGTCTTGAGAAAATTGAACAACAAGTTAATTCGTTTTGTCTCGAAGACGTTTGAGTACTCACGATACTGTTATCGAGTTGATGTGTCCTCTGTGTTTGACCGGGCTTCACCTTCAGGTGATATTCGACCACGTTCGGTATGTACGGCGGGTTGGAAACGACTGAGGAAGCCGGAGAGGATGAAGAGGCGGTCGCTGGCCGCTCAGGGACGGTGTTTCCGGCCTCGGTCGCCCCGAATAACGGCGCTGTCATCACTGATCTATACCCGCCAACCGTTTCTCCCATCTGACAAATTCAACATTTTTTTTTTTTCTTTTTTTTTTTTCACTCTTTGTTTTAAATCTTGACCAATCTTTTTCGATCGTACACATATAACCAAAGCTTTCGAACCTTTCTTTCCAAACGATCATTTTCAGTCTTCGTTGCACCTGTCGTGTCGTTCAGATCGTCGTTACTAACATTCTTCAGGACACCGTCAGTTCTTTTCATGAAGCCAAAATCCTCGTCTTCCATGGTACTTGAATTTTTTTTTCAGAAGTTCCTTGCTTGTCTCACGTTGCTCCCCTTTCCCTCACCGTGTTCCTGTTTAATCGCGTCACGACAGAATCAATTAAACAAGTGTATTTAATATTTCTTCAATTCGAGCATCCTTCGAAACACGCAACAAACATTCGCAATCTAGCGACGATTACTCTAAAAAAGGTAGTCAATTTCCCGTTTATTTAGCAAGTTTGTTCATCGCAAACAAATGAAGAATCCGTAAATTCCAAATAGTTGGAACGTCATCAGTTTTTAGTTATCTAAAGTTAGGCGTTATCAGTAATTAGATATCTTCCGCCTCGTTACGCCAAACAAAATGCAAAATACTTTTACTCGTGCAAAGTGTCGGGTAATCATGATGCTCCAATAACTTCGTACGATCCAACGAGGAGAGGAGGGGGAGAAGAACTCACCCCTGCTTGACGTTATTACCGTCGTCCCGTTGTATTCCAAAACGCGTTCAGCCGCGAAATTAAAAATGTGCTTAACGTGCCCGGACCTAAACCCGGCGAAACAGCTGTCGCGCAGCACGTGTTGCACCTTGCGCTCCAGCTCGATCGTTTTCGTTCGCTCTCGATCGCGTCTCGTTCGGAAACATAGAAGCTGAGTAAACTCTGGCCGAGCAGCGAAACAAACAAACGTATCCGTAGGATGTTCCGGCGGCACAAAGAGCGAGGGCCGTTTCACCTGCTCTATTTCGTACAAAGGACAGTCATTGTCCGCATTGTCCACAGATTTAATCGAACGAAACGGATGCGCCGCGGTACACAGAGAAAAACACGCGATACTATCGAGAAATCCTAAATACCCGGGGCAGGGCTTGGCCTGACGCGGGCAGGAAATGAGTCAGGTGACCGATAATCAGGTGAAAAAAAAAAAAAAAAAGGAAAAGGGATTCATTAATGTATTCACCGTCGGTTGGTCAGGTGTGGGTACTCTGTTTTATTGCGACTTGCGCACCGGCGAATCGGCGTGCGCAGTTACCGTTTCGAAAAAAAAAAGAAGAAAAACGTGCGCCCGGTTTCCGCGCTCTTCGCGACCGGGAGCGTAGAAATTCAAGAACGAAGGTCGAAACGAGCCGACCGAGCCGGAAACACATTCGTGAAATTTTACTCCAACGTGCAGTATGTTCTCTTTCCTTCTCTCTCTTTCGCGAATTCTGACAACGAACTTTCTCTGAATAAAATAAAATAAAACCGGAGCGCGTACAACGAATTGAAGAATGATACCAAATTCAGCTGACTCAGGAAGTCTTACCGGGTGGCTTACTTATACTCGTAAATAAAGATCAAATCCTGTTCGACGAACGTTTCAATGATACGCAATGTTGGCTCGATTGACATACGCGCCGAAAAGTTTTTTTAAATACTGCGTAGATATATATATTTAACTCCTTTGAGCCTAACAAGTCACAAAGATTTTTCGTACTGTGTTGTGTCAATGAGTCTCAAAGGTACGTTGATATTAGCAATGATACTACCATCAATCAATTGTCATGAACAGTGTACAGACAACGTAATCTGAGGTTAAATTGTTTAATCGAAAATTATATAAAACGTAATGTTACAAATACCAAATCCTTAGATGAATTTATTTTCGAGCACCTTGTATATACCCCGCCTCTGTACACCTGTCGTCCAATTACACCCGCGTACGATACTAAAACTGTTAACGCGCGTGGCCACGTACCGGGTGTTGTAATACACACAGAAACAGCAACCGTCTGTGGGAAAAATATCCGATGAAAAGTTGCGAGAATTTATCGCGTATTTCGGACACGTCTATGCAAAGAGACGGAAAAACTCGGAGCATTGGTGGTAACGGTATCGTTCGAGAATGAAATGGAGCTGCAGATAGTCGCTGATCGTTATTACGGTCTTTCAAGATTTCCGTTACCTCTCGGAATATCGAAACTTATCAATTCTCAATTCGAAAGATACGAACTCATGAATTCCAGAGATAGAAGGCATTTTTGGAGAAGTGTTTTTTTTTTATGCGACGACTTTTGAAAAATTGCAGTCGAAAAATCTCTAACGCTTATATATATATATATATATATAAACCTGATGGTTAGAGAAAATTTCATTTCAAATACGGGCGACGATAAAAAATATTCGAGCTAGCGAAAGCTCGAGATCGATGTGAAATAGAGAAAGGGAGAGGGGCACCCTTTTCGTTTCGAGTTCACGAGAGGGTAACAACGATACCGGAAATGTCGGTGGAGCGTCTGACCGGAAGTTATTATACCCGTGTCACGAACTGCAACGTCTCGTTCCTGGAATTTCAAAAACACACCACACACTGCTGTGTTTACTCTTCTTAATCGTAACAATGCTCTTTTACTTTAATTACAAGTTAACGCGCCACGTATCTGCCGATTAATTAACACGGGCGTTGATAACAGCGGGCAGATTTCTCGTCGGATCTCGAAACAGAAATGAAACGCGCGGTAATTTATCGCCACCGTTCCCTTCCACGCGATTTCCCACGATCCCCGCGATACTCTTTCTTCTGTAACACTTCGGCAAAAATGCGGAAGAGGAATCTTGCGCGAATCGTTCGAAGAATCGATCGAACTGCCGTAAAGTAAGAGAAGAGAAATTCAAACGGAATTGTTACCTCTGTACAAAGTTCTATCATCGTTGTTTGTCGTTGATAAATACCAGTGAGAAGATAACGAAAGCCTACGCGTGTAATCCCCCATCGTTCTTTTCGAGAAGACGCCTCTGTGACGCGCGAGATACGAACTGAACGATATCGAAGAATAAGGAGACGGAATTACTCACACAGCAGTGTGAGTATTTCACTCCCAACGTTAAGAAATAGAATTTGATAATGTGAATCGGCCGAAGGGAATTGCAAGTGAAACATCGCGGTCATACACTGGAACTAAGCTCAAAATGACCGATTCGAAATTTTTCAAATTTCGAAATTTTATGGATTCACAACAAAGTGATAGAAGCTTGTATTGTACAATTGTCGACGTAATTACTGGGTATATTTGTAACACGCAATGTACATTAGCTTTTATTCCTTGTATTTCAGTTCTTCGAAAACGAGTTCTACTCCTTTAGTCATCGGTTTGTTCTGATGTCAATTAAGATAAATTTTGCTTGCGCAAGAAATACAAATGGCAATTTAACTGATTACTTTCTGTTATTTACCTCCTGAATTTCCACTCGTTGGACGATCAACATCACTGGAGAAGAAACGGTGTACCAAAATTATCGAGCCTTCCGAAGTACATAGATTTCGGTCTTGCGAAACGCGAATGCGATCTCGAGCGATCGCGATACGAACGCGACTGCGGACAAACGAGAGACTCTGTTGCTCGGAGTATCCGGAAACGCAGTCGCGGACGTGGCTACCGGTCGGATCGATCCGCGCTCGTTCAACCGCGAAACCGTTTTAAGGATGGACCGATCTAGGATCCGCGAACGATCGACAGCGCGATCTCTGGCGCGCTGTGCACTGTCGCGTGTATACGTGCGACTGAAAATCTGGGACACGACAGCTCGCTGCAGCTAGCGTCGACTGATAAAACACGCGGCGAGTCGACACCATGAGCTGGATGTCAGCACGACGCACGCCTGCGTGCACGCGTCCATTATCAACGAGCTTGTGATAAATCTGAAGCTGGCAAGATAATTCTATCTGCGCGTACTGAGAATCGTGAAAGGGGAAGAGACACGGATTATTTCCTCGGAGAGAAAATGAGTGAAGAATCCCTTGATATAGGTTTAACGACGATCATTGTGCGTAGTTGTGAGACGCTCAGAAGACGACAGAATTCGTACAATGTGCGAACAATACATGAAATATCGAAGATATTTAACAGAAACTCTAATAAATATTGCAATAACTGAATTTATGCTAGAATTACTAAGATTCGGGGTATTTGACTTTATTTTGTACTTCGCTTTATTTTTCGTAATTGGTACGAAAAAAAAAAAAATGAAATTCAATTAAATCAAATGTTGTAAAACTCTCTAAACTAAAAGTAATTTGAAATCCCTGAATTCTTATTGTTTCCAATGACTCGATGATACCAATTAAGAGCGATAGCGATAGCAGCCTTTGTTTTATTATAAAGTGAAAGATTCGCGTAGCTGTGAATACTCACATTTCTCCGTTTCACAATGAGTTTCGAGTGCCTATTAATTCGCCAGCGAACAGGTGTCGTACTACTGAATGTGGGACAGCCTCAGGCAGTGTCATTCAAGCACAACCGGAATGAATCATAAGCTATAAGGCAATCGTGTCACCGATATCACGCGTACAGATATCGACGATAAAAGAGTTCATACGTATGCACATACGATTTCCCTCGTCGATGTGAAAAATACATGGTACAAATGTACAGAGAAAAATATTCCCAAATATGTATTCAGCTCGCTTAATTCGTAGCCAAACGAATTGAAAGATGTTTCCTAGAATTCGTTATAATTGACGTTATATTGTTTACGTAACTCCGAGTACAATAAAATCCATACGTTACCAACACAGGGTGTTACGTAAAAAAAAAAGAAGCTTCGATTGTGTACACGTGCAACCAAGATGTACCAAGATGTGGATAAAAATCGAGATATCAATTAAAATAATTAGACAATCGGCGGACGTGCAACCAAGTCGATAAGAACTTCTAGCCAGGTTCGGAGAGCTGTCGAAAATCGTCTGATCATTGTTGGATACAACTACGAGTCTGACCTCGAAGGAGAGGAGTAATCGATGAGAACGATTACGACGAATCGAATTTGTTATTACTCATTAAACTGACATATATGAAATTTCGTTTGTTCTTCTTTTTTCAAGTAAAACTTAGACCAGAAGTTCATTTAATCAAAATGATTTTCACACGACTCGATGTAATAAATCTGTCACAGAGTTATCGATTCTTGGTTTAAATTCAACAATTCCTTAACAAATTTCAAATTCGTAGTTTTTTTGGTTTTCTTTTCAGCTTCTTTCTCGAGTAATTTACACACGAGAAAATTAAGGAATAGAGAGAATAGAAAGAATCACCTTTTACGTTGAATTTACTACAATTTTACTCCCACTTTTTTTCACTTAAACTCGCATTGAAAAATCCTCTAAATATTTTAATTAATCAATATAAATTCACCAATAAATATTTTTAGAATATACCTATATATATTTATCTATCCAATAACTTACTGTTTCTTGTGACTGATAATTAGATGATTAGATAAAGTTTAGTCAATAATATCGATTTAACAAACATGAACGACATTTTCTATGCGTTAAATTCATCGATAATCCACCACAGCCTGTGCTTTGACTAATAATTTATCTCGTAATATCGTAATTAAATGTTTAATCGGTCGACACAGTGGTAGAAACGTGAGAAAGACTTTCATATCGCTTTTGTACTGCGACAGGAAAGATGCTCGGAAGTCAACTCGTTATGAAATTATGAAAGCTTATAGCAACTGAACGGTGCCGAGCGTGTGAAGATTCTGACGAAAGTGTCCATTAAAACAAATGGTCTCCTTCTGATTATCTGTTTCTGAAAAACACACTCGCGCGCGCACACACAGAAGAACACGTCTCGTCCATTCTTAGCGCAATAACGCATAATAGTATGTACTTGCGCTTTTCCATCGCAACCTTCGGACTATGAACATAAAGATTATGAACGTAAGGCGACAATATATTTAAAATTGAACCCTACACAGTCGCTAAATTAAAAATTAAAAATTTAATACAACACTATTTTCGCAAATTAATGTTCTTCCATCCTCCCGGAATTTTTAATTCCGTTATTCGATGTGTTAGAATCTGACGTATTTCGAAAATTCTCAGTGGAATTCACGGCAGATAGAAGAAGTGAATGCAACAATTTTTAAATAATTGTACGATAATAATAATACAAATATTAGAAAGTCAGCGAAAGAGAGAGAGAGAGAGAGAGAGAGAGAGAGAGAGAGAGAGAGATTCTGCAATGTGACCATAATATTGCTAATAACAGGTTTCTTAACAAGGGAGGAAGACAAAAGTTTTCTTCTCCATCAACGTTGGCATTTCCCTCGCTGTTCTCGAGCCAGGCAGACCTTCCCACGAATGTTACAGGGATTTTGTAATCCGTCTGATAATTAACAATAATTTAATTCAGAACGACAACTATCCTCCTCTCTCATTTCCCCCCTTCCCCTCAATTCTCTCTCTCTCTCTCTCTCTCTCTCCGTATCTAAAATATACAATTAAAACACAAAGGAAGTTCTGTTATCTGCATTAACAAGCAGTTGGTCGCGAGAACAATTCGAAAATCAAGCGAATCGTTTGATAAATCGCCGTGGAAAGTGAAACATTAAAATGGGAAAACTGAGATACAAAGAGGGAATCTTGTTCTATATAGTATATATATTTAGAATGCCAAGTAGCTACGCGCTGCGAAAACAGTGAACGCTAAACAAACGTTGGATAGATCGTTGGAGGATATATTTGAAAATGACGCAGTATTTTGTTATCTAATTCGAAGGTAAAGTATGCGAGCCGTAGCTAAAATCAGCCATCTAACACCGTGGAATTTGCATGTCAATCTCGAAATGTTCGCGGTCAGCAATTGCGCCGCGGCTAATTGGCGGTGAACGCGCCTCGAAAATTAAGGGGCTCCACTGAGAAGAGAATGAAACAGAATGAAACGGCATGCAAATGAATGAGCTGATCGTGCGCGAGATTTCTGTTTTTCCGCCTGTTTAAGTTAAGACACGCGTCAAGATATCTCGATATCGGCGCGGGAAAGAAAATGATTTGAAGCTTCCTGTTTCCTTGGGCGACATCTTTGAAGTTTGTAACGAACTTGAAATTTCATTTCAAGAAATCCTCGATCGTGGCGTTGAAGTAAATCTTAGAAATCTTGCTCTTATCAAACGATGCTGAGAAAACGAAAAATTGATTTATAAACTATATTGGAGTACGTGTATTTCAGATATACTTACTATCCTATAGTAAACAGTTGTAAAATAATAAATATAAAATTAAATTAATCAGTTATTATTCTAATTGTGTATTCTGTTGTGACAAATATAGGAATGATATCTGAAAATCGTAGAGTAAGGATACTTGTTGATGAACCACAAATATTAATCCTGCTGCCTTCGTTTAGCCATTTTTGAGCCAATCGCGTCCTCCCTGAAAAATTAGCGAGAGTAATTCGATCGTAGGGAAAGGAAGCCCTTGATAAAACGAAAGCGAGATTCAAACTCAAATGATTCGAGAAGCACAGCAGGGTTAATTAAACCTTAAGTATGCACGATAAGACCGTGAGTTATTTCGGGGGACGTGACGTTATTTGAGGATTTTCCATCCTACGGAGAATCCCACGGAAACAAAAAGCCTAGATATCTGATCGACGAGATCGGCGAAATAGTTTAGACCACCTTCCCCGCGAAGAACGCACAAAGTGAAATTAACCGATACGATCGCGTCGAATTTATGAAAGGTATCGGATTCGGTGGATAAAAACGTCTGTCGAGAGAACTATATTAGATCGATGCTGCTTAGAGGTAAGTGACACAAGCAAATTTCAAAGGAACCGACATACGGGGATTTTCACGGTTGTAGGAGCACAGACGTTGCGTAAACATTGTACACCTTGTGCTAGAGATAGAAAATTAACGAAATCAATAAATGACATATTAATGATATTGAAATTTAATATCAAATATCAATAAATTTGAAATATCTAGTTAATCGCTGCCCACGTTGATGACACGGAGCAAACTTGCGAAATATCTGCGATGCAAACGATTCGATCGATTCGCTGTCTTACCTACTCTCTTCCTCTTCAATCCCTTTCGACGAAGATGTCGCGTCCGAAGATTGCGCGTAGAAAATAAGTCACACAACCCTGGCTTTAAGTAGTTAGTTACGATCGTTACGACTGTTTTCACGGGTGTAAGAGCACGGGAGATATTGCGTAAGAGAGGCATCTGCGGCATCGCAGAAACGAATCCCTCCCCTACCACCTTGGGATCTTCTCTCTTTCTTCGTTCGTCCGGTGTGGGAGCCCCGGAAAAGAGGGGCTCTCAAGAACTCCCCCCTTGTTTCTGCTCGATCTCTAAAGCCATATATATACCACCACTTCGTGGTAGCATCCTTCGAGAAAGAAACTTTGCCCGCAACACCGTGGAGACGGGAACTTGCTGGCGGAGGTCCAGCGGATCCGGGGACCGGTGATCGTATTCTGCCAACATCCGAAATCCAAACTCGTCCCTAAGATAAATGAACACCACGTGGAAGGATACTGCGGATTAAGGTGATTGGATCTTTCACGAAAAGGTAAGAATTCCCTAAGGAACCTCGGGGATAATACGGAGCAATGATTCCCATCGGAGAGCTAACCATAATTTGAAATCTAATTGTTCGATATTTAGATACCTAGATATTGATTGACTAACTATCGGATCGTTAGACTTAAATTAAATTACCAGGAGATGTTTTTTTTTTTTTGAAATTTTTCAAAATATTTAAAATATTTCTCTTATTTTAAATTCTAGCCGATTGTTTCTAGTTATCTCGAGCCAAGAAGTTCGCCTGATTTTTTCTCCCTTTCTTTTTTTGCCTTCTAGATGATCTCGCGGTACCAAGTGTTGTGCGCGCTGGTGCTATTCGGCGCGGCCCTGCTGTACCAAGCGATGGCGGTAAGTGACACGGCGATCCGCTCGGCATTTCCCTCTGAAAATCGTGTTCGATTCAAGCTTGCGTAATGTATTCACCGGAGAGTATCACGCGCACAATACCTTTACGAAACCGGGTGTTGAATCAAAGTGCGGAATTATTATATTCATTGTACTTTCTCACGTGCAACAATGACAGAGGGAGGATCTGGTATCTTCCCGCGTCATCTTCGCCAGGCTGGCAGCATGAAGTAATTCATTAATTAACCCGTGTTGCGCGAGCGTGCTTTCTCGCGCGCTTCCTCGGACAAAGTCGTTCGGCAACGAGCTGTTTGAATTTCCACGTCTTCTCTCTGCTGATCTCCCCTGATGACGAATAAAGTTACGTAACTCTGTGTAGAAATGGATCCTGGATGAAATTTATCCAGAAACCCAAGAGTTACGAAACGACGAGGCTCGAGCGCTCAGGATGTGTACGCGCGCTCATCGACAGCTCTTTTATTATAGCCGGTTTATCGAAGGGCGACCGTGCGTCTAGCGAGCCGCGAGCATATTCATTTTCACCGGAAACGATGGCCGTGAACCGAACGCGGATCGAAACGGAAGGGGACCGAATTTTCAATGCCGAGCCAACGGCCAGAAAAACTGAGAATGATTAATTGACCAGCCGATGGTTATCGCGTTCAACATTCACGGTACGCGCCTCCAGAAATTCTTTCTTAATCCCTCGAAGAAATCGTGACGTTTCCAGCAGTCCCACACTCTTCGACGTCCAGTTCTTTTTAGTCCAGAGCTGTCTCCTGAATTTAACAGTCGTCCATTTTTGTACGAAATCGACGAAAGCGTCTCCAATCTTTTCAAAAAAAAAGTTTTCGTTCTTCTCAATCTAGAGATTATCTCTGTTCAACGATTTTAAATCCATAAATGTATCCTAAACTCTGCAACGTCTAATTTTTAATTTTAGACGATCATCTGCTACTCTTCATACGAGAGTGATGCATCTTTTTATAAAAGTCTTCGTTCTTCTCAATCTAAAGATTATCTCTATTCAACGATCTTAAATCCACCAATGTATCCCAAACTCTTCAACATCCAATTTTTAATTTCAGACGATCGTCTGCTAATCTTCACACGAGAGTGATGCATTTTTTTATAAAAATCTTCGTTCTTCTCAATCTAAAGATTATCTCTATTCAACGATCTTAAATCCATCAATGTATCCCAAACTCTTCAACCTCCAATTTTTAATTTTAGACGATCATCTGCTAATCTTTATACGAGATTAATGCATCTTTCTTTCTACTTTACGTTCGCACGAAAAAGATTCGATAATCTTCGATTCGTAACAATATTTCTCAGAGTTCATCGACGCTCATTCCTACGTCCATACATTTTGCCCAAGATCGATCTATTTGCGACAGAGCAGTTTGAAAGGTTGAGTCTCATCTTGCGGAGGAAGGTTCGACGATCTTCGAGCAAAAAATACCCTGACCTACCCTAATCTCGCGCGCGATGACTGCACGGTGGACTGCAGTCCGCGCCGTGCTTTCCTCGCCAAGCGTCAAAATCACCCGTCACGTCGAGAGGGTGGAGGCAGAGGTTGTCTTGCGGTTGCGCGTGGTCGTAGCTGGACGGCAGCTCGAACACAAAGGCACACGGAGATGCGCATCCGCTTGCGGCGAACAATGTAACCCGACTTCCGGTCAAACGGTCGGCTCGCGCACGCACTGGAGTGGCTCGATCCGAGTGGCCGTTTCGTCGTGTCGCAATCGTCCCTTCTTTTTTTTTTTTTCTTCTCGCTTCGACCGATAGCCAATTGCGAAAAAAAGATCGCGCGGCGAGATTCCCCTTCGAATCCGCCGCGGTTTAAATGTTCCTCGGAAGCTGCTTGGACCATTAACTCCATTTGCTTTTTTTTTTTAATTGTTCCTTCTTGTTTTATCTTCGACGAACGATCGGACACGTAATATGAATTTTTGTGTGATTCTTTTGTAACGCGTTGTAATAACCAACACGGTTTTCATTTCTAGAAATATTTTAGAAAAATCGTACGTACCAGTAGGAAATCTTTGACATTTTATTTGAATCTGAGATGTCTTTCAATTTCAGAGAGACACGGGAACATCGTAGGCGAAACGTTTCTCTGAACTACAAAATGAAAAATCCTTGTTGCAACGATATTCGAATCGAAACGAAAACTCGAATCATCCCTCGCCAGATATAGGGCAAAAATTATCGTACACGTATAATTCACAGACGTATAAATTTCATGTGACAAGTCAACGCGTCAACGTTCCACCGTGCATAATAATCACTCTGCGAAAGTAAGTGCAACTTATGGCGTGCATCCTCGCTCGGTCCACATTCCATTGTGAGCGATAATAGATGACGAAATCTCTGTCGGCGATGTTTCGACAGAGCAACGGGGGAATCGCAATGTAAATAACGCTTTTCACTGTTGCGTCTAATTGTCTTTGTTCCGAGAGAAATCAAGATGTAACTCGCACATCGTGTTCGAATTGAGAGAAGTAGGTTGTAATTCGATTATCCTACATATACACAATCGCTCTCTCTCTCTCTCCGCGAGTCCTCGTCGTCGCGTTGATGAGTTGCAACAAACTTGAGCCGTGTGCGTCCCTCCTAATTAACCCTAATTAAGACGTTACAGTTTCAAACGGCTCGCCTGTCCAATTTTCTTTCAGCAAGTAGACGGTTACACACCTGGCGTGGACTACCCGATCTACGATTCAGTACCTTTCGGCCTCACGTTTACCTGCGGAGGCAAGTTACCTGGTTACTACGCCGATCCCGAAGCTAGATGTCAGGTAAGTTTAGCCATCGTCAACTAGTCTCCCGGGAAATGGATAGAATTTCGAACGTTTCTCTTTCAGGTCTGGCATTGGTGTTTGCCAAACGGCCGTCAGTTCAGCTTCCTCTGTCCAAACGGCACAGTTTTTAGCCAATCGGCTCGCGTCTGCGATTGGTGGTTCAAGGTATCAAGTGCTTCCTCGATGCACTGGATCACCCCACAAGTAATCTAATTGTTCTGAGAATCAAAACAATGAAAGTTAGAAAATTGTAAAATTTGGAGTAAGAAACTCAACAGAGAAAGATGTCGATCGCTGACGGGTTATTATTTTTAATTTTTATCTAAAGCGTTGCTTGTGGGATGAACGTCTCGATTCTCGTCATCTTTGACCAGAGTCTGACTCTTGAAATTTTTTTCTTCGTCGTTTTTTTCAGGTTGATTGCAACGACTCGCCAAGATTGTACGGCATCAACGACGACCTGTACAGAGACGTGAACGGAAACAAGATCTAACGCTAACTAAACTGTAAAATCCGTGAACATTTAAACGCGCTGAACCTAAGCAAAGAGTATAATTTCTGTGTACGGTATATACGAATAGAAGCGAGATATTCGTCCAAGCGAGTTGTAAGTTCCTAGTTTGCCGGCAGAGAAACGCTCGTGCAGAGCGCTATAATATTCTCGGATGCTAAATTGCTAACACGACGACGATCGATCGCTTGCAGCTACACCTTCATCGCAGGTGAACCACAAAAAATCTCAAATATTTTCCAAAAAATGATTCGAACTCTTATATACCAGATTCGATTCTTCAATAAAGAACAACAGATGCATTAACTTTTTCCTGAGTGTCGAATGCGATCGATGCACTTTTATTGATCATGCTTTTATCGCACTGGTCGTCGTCGGCTTTTTATCCTAAAGCTAAGATAGCTTAAGAGGGAACGATCCCTCTCGGGTAGAGAAGAAGAAAGAAGGCTCGATCGAAATCACGTCGAACAATTTCTTGGCATGATCGGACAATAGAAAGTGAATGGTCGTCGCAAACAGCCAGTTTGTTCCCTGCCTTTTTCCTGTCAAACGTTGCCTTCCATGCTACGCTTTTCCGACTGTGTTTTGCATGCACGTCTCGTCGCTCTATTTTTTTTTTTTTTTTTCTACTCGTGTATTTCGAGATCGATCGGGGGAAAACGAAGATTAACGCTAAAACTACATAAATCTTCACCTTGCTATAGTCCTCAGATGTTTATATTTTAATATCACACTCAAATGAGAAGGAAGCATTTTATTATGTTTCAAGAAGACACAAAACTTTACAGAATCACGTTGTTGAGAATTTTTTTTCGTACTTGAGGATACGAGATTTTATAGTCCTCAGATGTTTATATTTTAATATCACACTCAAATGAAAAGGAAGCATTTTATTATGTTTCAAGAAGACACAAAACTTTACAGAATCACGTTGATGAGAATTTTTTTTCGTACTTGAGGATACGAGATTTTATAGTCCTCAGATGTTTATATTTTAATATCACACTCAAACGAGAAGGGAGGATTTATGATATTTTAAGAAGACACGAAATTACAAAATCACGTTGATGAGAATTTTTTTTCATACTTGAGGATACGAGATTTTATAGTCCTCAGATGTTTATATTTTAATATCACATTCAAATGAGAAGAGAGGATTTATGATATTTTAAGAAGACGCGAAACTTTACAAAATCACGTTGATGAGAATTTTTTTTCATACTTGAGGATACGAGATTTTATAGTCCTCAGATGTTTGTATTTTAATGTCACGCTCAAACGAAAGGAGCATTTTATTATGTTTCAAGAAGACACAAAACTTATTAACCGAAAAACCATGCTGACGAGAATTGTGTCGTGCTTAAAGAGATATTCTTTAATTTTTAAAAAGTATAAATAGGTCTACGATAACTGAAAAAACAGAAACAGAAGGATTAAGATACAACATTAGAGGAATGAAAGTAGTCGATAATTTTCGTAAAGTTTGATGATTCTGACCAACATTCTAGTGTTAAATATTCGATGAAATCTCCGGAAGCAACTCGTTTTTCCCTCGATCGGGCAACGTGTAATTATCGCGGAGGAATTTCGATCGGCGTTACGTAAACGAATAGAAATTTGGCGCGGCCGCTTACGAAATCCTCACTTCCGCCTTCCGGACGCGTTTTTCAGAGTGGCAAGGCCAAAGTCATCGGCAAACACTGTTATTCCGATTACGTTGCGTCGACGATCTAATGGAAAGTTCGTCGATAGCTACCTGGTAGCTACCTGGTTACGCGTAATTGCAAGATTGTTCAACGTCTCGAGACAATCTTGCAGTATCTGTTGAAGGTCGCGCAGGATCACAGACGCAATTTGCATGAAACTTTCGAGCGACGAACGTTTAAAATTCCGCGCGCGTAAAGTAAAAAAATAAAAAAAAAACACACACACACACACGGAGACGATCCTCCTTCGGGCGAATCGCGAACGCAAATATCACGGGCGTATCCTCGTTCTGAAATTCTTGACGATCCCCTTTCAAAGATCAGCAGGCGTGTCGTGCTTGTAGCAAATCGCGTTTCAAACGACCACTGAGATCATTGGAATTTGTATTGGCGATATATGAAGAGAGATGCGTCAGTAATATGACGCTTACTTATTAAAAGATTTTAAGAAGCTTCGTTTCGTTTGATGCTCGATATATTTTGCATTCTGCAAGATATATTAGAGCAGTTGTAAAGAGTAATTTTGTGTATTCTCATTTTGCAATTTTTTAGCGACTAAAAATGAGATAAGATTTGATATGTTTAGACCTGATTTTTTAAATAAATTACAATATTAGAAAATTTTAAGAAGTTTCGTTACGTTTGATACTTGCATTCTGCAAGTTATCATAGAGCAGCTGTAAAGAGTATTTTTATACATTCTAATTTTGCAATGTTTTAGTGACTAAAAATTTAATATATTTCGGCCTGATTGATATAATACGTAACTACTATAAATACACTGATGTTTTAGCAATAAAACCAATATTAAACCGCAGATATATATGCAATTTCATATTCTTTTTAAGAAAGGAAACTTGAGCAAAAAAAGTCATAGTGCGTGTTACGTGCAGTCTATGCGTTTTTACACTTAATAAATGTACAAAATAATTACAAAATAGGAATATGCAGTTTGTAAATATCAGCAGGTAGTCTCAAACGAGATATGGCCGAACACCGTATAGTCTCAGTCTCGAGTAAAGTTTTACGAGTCCTTCGGCTATAAAATGGCCGACGATCCCTAGACAGAAATGGAACTTGATTTCGAGGGGGGAAAAGAGCGCATGGAAAGGGAGAGACTGGAGCCTTGAGTCTCGGAAAAGAAAGGACTCGTTCTCCTTAAAGAAAGCAGCGAACTTCGAAAAAGAAAAAGAAAACAGAAGAAAAAAACAATCGATCTCACGGACACGCTCGGATTCCAATTTAACGCGATACGATCCTGTTTCACTTCGAAACGACGCCGAATAAGAAATAAAACGCAGCTGGATGGCGACACTTCATCGGAGGTTAACGGATCGCTCATCGCGGATTTTTCTTTTTTCCGTCGAACGAATCCGAAAACGGTCGGCACGTACGCGCGTCGATTCCATTGGCATTCCCTCAAGTGTTAGAAAGGACCTCGGTTCGAAGAGTTGCAAGCAGGTTAGAATACTTTCTTCGGATAGGTACGACTCTATCGACTCGATGGCCGACCCTGAAGGTGATTTATTGAAAAGCCGATCAGCTCGCTCCAACAGTCCGATCGCTTTTCCACGTTTGACACGTTGGCGTTACGAAAGGACTACGGTAATCGCGTAGTCTCTCACGGGAAACTGAACTTCCTATTTCCAAACAGTTGCCGAGAAAACGATCGTTATCGATTAATAGGATCCTCGAGGCGTGATGTACGACGATTTCGTCCTCCTCCCTGTCCTTTGTCGTCGGAGGCACGTTCCACTTTCACTTAGCTTTTTCGATCTTTCGAGAAGTTAAGACGATCGCGAAGAATTCATCGCGCGCGTATTATTGCCCACGTAGGTGGACTAGGTCATTTTCAAAAGATCACAGGGATGCGCGAGTCAAGACACCCTGAAGGCGTCGCAAGACCTTTACGATACACTCTCGTTTACAAGTATTAGAACACGTGACTGATACAAGTCTACGTGATAATTGGTTCAAATTCATCTATCGAGAAGACCAAGCATCGGTTTATTTATATCAATCTTTTTAAATTTCATAAAATTATAAGATCTGAAACTGAAGTACAGAAAGTGGTCATCGAACGCCACAGCAAAGTTATCGTACACGAAGACGAGATTTTACGTACCGAGTTAGTGTACGGATTCATATCAATTTTTCAAAGAAGATTCAATCCGTGTTTCCTTACACAAAAGAAGAAAGTTTCGAATCAGATCTCGACCTCTACTTCCAAGCGAGAGTGTACCAATCGGTCCTTTGTTCAGCTCCGCTGGAAAACGAGAGGACAAGAGGCGAGAGAATCGGATGGTAAAAGTAAGACCACAACGACACGCCGATAGAAACGGGCGGCCTTCTAATTTCTGCGTTGGCTCTCGAGAGAGTCAAGTTTGAAATGTCCGACGAAAAGAGCGTGTTATTGGTTCGATTCGGCTCGGTTCAGCTCGCGATTGTATCGCGCGTTGGCTATCAGGTGGCGACGCAGGTGGCTCCTGGCGAGCCTTTCGCTCCTGACGGGGACCGATTTTTCGACAGAGCTACGCCAATGCCAGAGACCGGCCAACAGGCGCCAATGTCCGTGCAGGCCCCCCTCCTCGACCTTATCCACCGCCGTAGAAAGCTCGACCAGACGACGCTGGTCGGAGCACAACGCTCCTGCTGCTGGCTTTTCCACTTCCATCGCGCAGTCTTCTGGCCGGACCGGACCGCGGTCTTGCCCTCTATCAACTACCAAACGCAGTGTGCTTTTCCCCCCCGAATCGAATTCGATTCGATTTTCCTCTCTGGAAAATTCGAGGCAACGAATTTCCATTCGCCGCCAATCGGGGATCGAGCATTCGGATTTCGAGCCGACGACACGCGCAAGTGCTTTCTCAAGATCGTTTTCTCGCTGCAACTCGGTGTACAGGTGTGACAAGTATACTCGGGAGTGAGCCTCGATGTGAGGACGGTGCTTTCATGAGGGATTAACGAAAAATCGACGGAGCCGAGAGACAGGTCTGTGCGCAAACTTCCTTTACCTAGGTTAATTTTAAACGAGCTGCACCAACGCGAACGTTCGATAATAAGAGAGAGTGATTATTCCGGTCAGAATAATTTGGAAAATTCTGCTCTATTGGAGGCGAGATTTTTGAATTTTTGGAGACAGAGAGCTTCTTGGAAATCTGCCGAATGTCTCTGACACGTGATTGTTCGTGCGTCTCGACGGGCCGTTCGGAGATTTCGGAGAGAAGAGAGGGAACGATGGAAATCGAGGTTTTGTTGGAGTTTACGAGATTAACGTGGCGAAAGTAGTGGCAATTCCTTCGCTATTTATACCACAAGGCGAAGCGTCGCCTTCTTTCCACGAGCGAGCAGAGAAGAGTCGGGCAAATTATTAAATTTGGATTACTTAAGCAGCGGTAATCACAGTGATTTATTTGAACGGTAGAAGTGCTCGGTTTCTGCCCGCGGCCAGAATGTCAGCATTTTCTTGCGACAATCCCTCCACGTGAACGTTCCGCGAGCCCAGGCTCGAATCGTTTAGCTCGCGGCTAACGAAACTGCTCCAACGAACTCGTTGCCCCGATATAGTCGAATAAAAAAAGATCAGAAGCGCCACGCAACGCTCTGGCATTCAAGTCTCGCGTTCAATTTTCGTAACGAGGGAAAACCCTCGGCTCGCTGCCGGCGGTTCAAGCCGCTCCAAGCTCCTTGTTTTCGCGAATTTGAAATTCCCTCGAGAGAGAACTGATACTGATTTCCCTTTCAACTGCGGCTTCGAGTCAAACTCTTTGGAATTGCAGAATATCGAATTTTTGAAACTCGAAATTCACTCGAGCAAGGATTTCGAGGTCGAATCATTTCGAATATATAAAATCCCTTCGCGCGAGACGAAACTGACTCTCGTTCCAGTTTAAAATTTTATAATTTTACTGGAATAGGAAATTCTTTCGAATTAAACGCGAAATTGAAGTGCCGAGGAGACGAAACGAGACGCAGCTCGGTCACGATCGAAATCGTGAAAGGACGATGGAGCGGCGCGCGAGAGCCTCAGGAGCAGAGATAAAGGCGCCAGGACTTTCGCTGACCATCGGATCTTCTCTCTTCGGATCGGCTCTTTCGGCCGAAACATCGTTTTTTACATCCTCGGTGATGTCAAACGAAAGAGAACTGGTTCTATCGTCGAATTTAAACGATCGCCCGACTTTCCATTCCTCCTTTTTCTTTTCTTCTTTTTTCTTTCCCCCTTTCGTGGAAAAAAGAGCGCGACTCCTACGCTCGCTGTTTACCTCGAGGTTGTTCGGCAAGGTGAAAGGGAAAAAAGAGCATCGCCGATACGTTTGCCTCGCGTCGATCGTATTTTTTCTCTCTTTTTTTTTTTATGTTTCCAGCGTTACACGTGTATTTTCATGCGTTTCGAATTAATTTCGTAGTAAAAAACGCGAGGATCGCCGATTAACGAGCGTAGTTTCGTTTTCAGGAAATGGAACCGCGAAGCTCGGTACACGTGTTAAGAGAACACGCACGCGAACGTGTACAAGTACATACATCAAGATAATCACGATCGACGTGTGGTACGCGCATTTTCTTTTTTTTTTATAGAACTCGAGTTCTCGTTGACCTCTAGGAAGTGAAATATTTTCACGCTCTTTCGTTGCGGCGATTTCTGATCCGCGAAGGGAAAAGAAACACGGAGGAGGGGGACAGTCGAGTTTCTGCGCGAGATTGCCGGGAAATTCAAACATACGTTCGAGTCGAATTCTCGCGGATTCAATCCGCGTTGAAATTATATTTTTGTTTCTATTTGCAATAAAAGAGGCAAAGATCGATGAGGAAAAGATTACAGAAGAAATGAACGAAATAAAAGTTGGCGGATGAAGAGAATCAGTAAGTTGAGTTCAAACACGGAGTAAAAGAAGAGCAAGAAATATAGAAATATAGAAAGTATTCGGTTAATATTAAACGAGTACCATAAAACGAATTTGTGGCGTGCTTAGGTTTCACGTCCGAACCATAAATCGCGGCGTAACCTTCTCGACGAATTACGCGCGTTGCAACACCGCAACGACGATCGAAAGAAGCGAGCGTAAGTTCAGCCGTTAATGAAATTACAGGTCGGCTAATTGTAGTTTCGATTTTTCTCAACGGTCCATGTGGAAACGAACGGACCACGGCGTTCACGGCGGATCGACTACTTTGCCGATTAATCTCTCGTGGTTTCCCGTAACCTCGACAGTGCCTCGACCAACCACTCTCCCCCTTTCGATGTCTCCCCTTCGTTCTCTCCTTTCCTCCTTGTTGCATTCTATCGCGTCCAACGTTCACTTTCGATCGACGGATTCCGTGGCCGATTCAACACACGCTTGAAAGTGAATTTATTTTCGACGGGCAGCCCGTCTAGGCTCGCGACACGCCTAGATTACGACCCCAATTACACGCCAACCCCCAACGAAATCACAGCGAATCTTCGAAACGTCGACTTCTTACCTACGAAGCTGAAAATTAACAGCACTCACAGGAACGGAAATTTTAGTCAACACGGGACTAATCTTGACTAAGATTGAATCAGAAAATTAATAATAAATTACAAACTCCAGTTGTACGAAACTGCTTGCTCTCCAAGTTCAGACAGACAGTTCCATTGAACGTCCAATTAGATGAAACATTGAACGAAATTGCGCACGTTATATGTATATAAGTATATTTCGAGATGAGGAGAAACTATTGGTGAAAAAGGCGCGATGTGAAAGCCTTTGGAAAGATTCGAGGGGATCCGTGCGAATGCGAAGGAAAGCGAGGAAAGTAGCCTCGAAAATGAACACCTGCTGAACTTCCCTCCAAAAGCAAGAAATTGGCTCGTCGTCTAGTAATTACAGGTTAGTGAGATCGCGCGCGAACCGCCGACACGTTACGACTCGCGATCGATTGCGCAATCGGTTATGGGACGTTTTAGGCGAGCTTACGTTCGACACGTACATCGGCCGATATTTTATCGTAAGCTCCTTCTCGATAAACAATATCGAGAGGCGAGCGCGAGCGCGAACGCGAACGCGAACGCGAACGAAACGTCGCGTTACGACACGAGAACGCGCGGTCTGCTTTCTCCCGCTATACGCCGTCGGAAAAATAAACGAGCTGTGCAGTTCGTCGTAATCGAACAGCCGGGATAGGCTTAATGGCCGTGGGTCGACGATTCTCCACGAAAAACTCACGGTTTCTGAAGTTTTGCCCCCGCCAAGGTGTGTCGCGACTCCAATTAGGCTCAGACAGAAGAGAAGAAACGCGAGACACGAGTATGGGGAGATCGAATAATTGTACAATGATAAATGTGAACGAGCAGATCTGTCACGGGTGCGGTAGTATAAAATTATCAGCTATATTCGAGAGTAAACTTGGCGCAACCATTTTTCACCTGAATACCATAATTCAATGAAAGGAAGGCTTTAAAAGGCGTTCGAAATTGAATTTCACGAGGCGTAATTGAAGGAATATGACTATGTATATTTCTGTGGTTTCTTCGTCACTTTCATAAACTGTTCGAGGGAATATTTTAACACAGAACAGCTGAAAGTGTTGGTACAACATACTGAACTTTGAAATTAGTAAATTCAATCTGGCTCAGATCGATTTGTCCTTCTCGTTTAGAAATACCCAGAGGAAAGAAATAAATAAAATTATCTCCTTCTCGGAGACGTTCAATCTCCGTTTTCGAAAGGTTAATGATGTTTCGATCGAGCAGCGTGGGCCTTGCGGAGAGTTCCTTTTACAAAGAATTCTTTCTGGCTAATGAACCATCATCGTGGTATCGACCAAGTGGAATTAGAATTTATTGAACTAACTCCCATGCGAGTAGACGACGTGTTTCGAAATTCACTTTTGCTTAAACAATGGTAATACGTAATACTCCGTGGTCGTCTCGAGACGCTGTTGGTTTTGTCGACGATGCAAACGAACCTCTTTATCTATTTTCGCTTCTTCGAAAGCACGCATCTTGCAATTCAATGTACCTCGCATGTCAAAAACTGGCGAATCTGCCTTTTCTTTCTGACTTTGAGAATATTCTAGGTAACATAATGTGCAAATAACAAAATGAAATTTTTACTTAATAAAGAAATTAATTAATTCTACAATATGAATCGTTTATTTGGAACAAAGACTTAGTGAAAGACGATTTTAACGACTACTGCCTCTGGCCTTGGGATAAAGCGAAATTTGACCATCGCTTTCGAAACGAGACAAAGTGTGTCAGAGTGTTCTACGAGGCAAGCGTGAATATCACACGGACGCCTACTTTCGATGATGCTACCGCGATCTGCACCGATGAATTGGATTTCGAACGATACCTGAAAGCATAATAATAAGCAGCTTTTCACGAAATTTGCATTCAAACGAAGACAATTAAAATAATTTTTTTATTCTTCAATCCGTCTAAATTTTTGGCAGTTTTCTAATCAGAGTTAATTCTTGTAACGAAACAAATATATCAGTGAGCCCTTAATTTCTTTAGAGTCTAAGTTTTTAGACTTCGGTCTAAAAGTCTCACCGCGAAAAGTCTCGACCACGATTTCGCGCCTATTTTTCAACAATCTCGCGCCGTTCGATATTTCAAGAACTCTCCGTTTCGACGGTGTGGTGTAATTTCTAGACGCGGGTATAATTTACGAAGCGGTAGGAAGCAATCCGTAAAACATCTCTCGTGTACGATTCAACATCGGCCTCGTTATGCTCTCTCTCAGCGCGCAATTGTTCCTGCGGCTGAGAAACAGGAGAAAAGAGGCGTAGCAGCTTCACGACACATTAATTGCGCTAATTATACACAAAGGCCTCTCTCTCGAGAGAGAGAGAGAGAGAGAGAGAGAAAGAGAGAGAGAGAGAAAGAATATCGCGGGAGGGAAGACGATGGAGAAGACAAGTCCAATTTCCGATTCCGGAAACAACGTTTCTTCCTCTATAGCAATACCGCTGCGGTTTCGAGAATTACGTCGATCTCCCTCCCTCAGTTCAACAAAATTTTC